CCTTGCCACCAAGGGCATAGAGGCAGTTCAACTGGCAAGAGTCTCAATTTGTTAACAAGGTTTTTTTCCATGGTACCTCAAAACAAGGTGGATTGGGGGGATCTAGATTTCATAAAAGTATAAGTCGGTATCGGAGTCCTCCATATTTCTTATGGACATACAAAATCCCTTTCAAATTACTTTCAGCCTAGAAACTATGAAGCTTCTTGGGCAAATTTACATACATTTTTTTGCCTATTCCACTGGAAGTTCTTGAGATATGAATATCAGGGCTGCCTCTCCCCGTCCCTCCTTTTGGGGCAGCATTGACATCCAGAATGTATAGAGACATCAATCTACCCAGAGAGTTTAATCTACCCAATTCTAGGTGACCTCATTAAAAAGCCATGCTTCCTACCTTAAAAAAGACAAGCATAACATCCAGAATCCAATGCTTCTCACCTAGTCTTGGCATAATTATAGTTGCATGTCAATTAAACTGAATAATCTTGGTTTATGTCTAGGGCCTTATCATGCATGGATTGAGTTCACTCATACCCTGCTTGAGCAAGGGGTTGGACCTCCAAGCTCCCTTCCAATATAACAATCTTCTTACAATGAGTGCAATTTTCCTTCCAGAAAGCAATAATGGTGGGAAAACAAGCTATGATTCCATTGAGCCTTACACATGGAAGAGTCCTTTGAATAGTGGATATTTAAGGCTGTAGACAGGAAATCCTATCTTGGAAGTATCCCTACTCATTCTAATCACCACCAAAGTTAGTCTTCTGGATTGGGAGACCCTTAATCATGGCTGCCTAGGCAATGGGTCACACAAGGCTTCTAGTATACCATAAAATCTTAGTGGGCTGGAAAATCAAATATGTAGAAACTTGAATTAGTTTGTCGCAAGAGAAGCTCCGAGAAATTGGGAAGAGGTGTCAGTTTCTGTTCTTCTAGACAGAACACATCTAGGGCTCTTTCAGTTCCAAAGGCAGATTTGGTTTAACTGGTCTGATGTGGATCTGGAAAAACGTAGAACAGGGATGTCAAACTCGCGGCATCATATGACGTATCACAACTTTTTCCCCCTTTGCTAAACTGGGGGTGGGCGTGGCCAGCGCATGACACATCCAGCCCGCAGGCCATGAGTTTGACAGCCCTGATGTAGAAGAATGTAGGTTCTCCTATTGAGCAGGGGCTGGACTAGAAGACCTCAAAGGTCCTTCCAGCTCCTATCCTATCCTATCCATGTTTTTCAAGAGATCACACAGTTCAGAATCCTTCAGTAGATCTTTTTCCACTATAAGCTATAACTGCTGCCTGAATAACAATATCTTCATGGCGGTAGCCATAGATTCTCTGGACATCAGATGTTCCCAGGGGGTCTTCTGTGCCTCGCCTCAATTCACTCTGCTAACCCAGATGCTGCATTTGATACATCTGAAGACCACAGCTGATTATGATGCAACTGTCCACAAACCCTACCTTTCCCACTGATTGCCCTCAGCCAGTGACCCCAGCTGCACTCTGGGCTCCACTGCTTGGTCCTCAAAGGGCTGCTCTGCCCACGTGTTTGAATCTGTCTTAGTAGCAAGTAAACTTCCTCCTGCAAGGTGAGCTTCCTGGGCTGGTTGGACAGGCCTTCATGGACCCGTTCAGCATTCCCCACTCACATTCAAGACAACTCCGCCTTCTATGGCATTCAAGACGTACACCAGCTGTGCTTCTGTTGACATTTAGAGAAGCAGTGACCCTTTAAAGCCCATCTTCATTTTCTCTCCAGTGTGCCAGTGCTGCCCACAAGGCCCGTGACCTTGTGACCGTTCCCGAGTGAGTTCTATACCTGTGTGGTGTTCGGGCCTTGTCTGCAGGTGTCCCACCAAAAGCAACACAAGCCCAGGCCTTTTCCATTAGTGCTTCTCTGAGCAGGAAGATACTCCTCCTACATATATGTTGTAGTCCTTCGAGTCTGAAGAAGACACACTGTCATGCAGTTCATCTGTGGATAGGGAGGTGGCTCTGCAGTCCCGCTGAAACTCCAGGGTCTAGCACAGCGGGATGCTTGCCACGACTTCGGTCAGCAAGCTGCAGTTTCTAGTTCCCATTGCTTAATATAGAGGTCCTGCACCCAGCCTGTTCAGCGAATAGCCCCCACCCCTCTTTGCAACCCCTCCAAAGTTCTACCCAAAACGTCATTCCAATCACAGGAGGAAAATAAAACACGACTTAGCAATGAATTGAGGGTACCTGCTCTCCTCTTGCAAAGATGATTGATTTTGCTGACCAGGGAAATGTATGTACAGTATGTTCCACCTACTGTCTTTATAAAAGAAAGCGCTGAGGTCGATTTGGGGTGGGGTGGGGTGGAGAGGAGTATCTGTCTTATAGTATTGGAAACAAGCAAATAGGTGGAAGCTACAAAAATCATTGCTGAAAAATTCAACTGTCCTTGAAAATTAGCTTGAACCTTACTTGTTTGCCTCTTTCTCTTCTCTTCATTTACCATTCCCTTGCTTTCTTTTGATCCATCCAGTTTTCTTCCTTCTGTTCTCTTTAGTTCTCTTCCCACTGGAGCTATTATTTTCCCTTGCAGCATCTCCATCTTATCTCCCCCCCCCCATCTTCTTTCTGGCTGTTTCTGCTAGAAAGAGTAAGTGTTGTGTGCATATTTGTTTTCTGTGTGAGAAAGAATGAGTGGTACATGCAGATGGGAATATGCTAATTTAATAAAGGGAGTGCCTTATTTTACAGGTAATACACTTTGATCAATAGGCTTAAATTCAATGAATAAAAATAATTTTTTTCCTCCTTGCCCTGCCTATTGTTAGGCTGTGGATTCTGCCACATATATTCACTTAACACATGTACATACAAGCCATTTATTGGAGCATATGAATATGCAGCATACGTTTCATCTGAATATACTAAGATGTGTTTTAAAAAGCTGTCAGATTACCAAAGTCAGCATGTCACAACTATGGTAAAATGGTCAGGCACTGCAGTGCTATAATATGCTGAACTTTCAGATTTGGTTGACTTTTCTTATCACCCTGGTAACTCAAATTCAAGAAGTTAAATAATAGTTTATTTAATTGAAATCCTTAATAAATGATTTTGGAATTTTTAATACATTTATAATAGCTTTACAATGATTTAACAAGTTCTAATACATTTGTGGATTCCAAACTATAACTAGAGGGCAAGGTCACTTGCATTTAGGTTCTAATTCAACATTAGCCACAGGAGAGACTGAAAGGAGAACTAAGGAGAAATTTCCTAACAATGAGAAGAATTAACCAGTGGAACGACTGGCCTTCAGAAGTTATGGGTGCTGGAGGGTTTTAAGAAGAAATTGGGCAACCATTGTCTGAAGTGGTAGAGGGTCCCCTGCTTGAGTAGGAGGTTGGACTAGAAGACCTCTAAGGTCCCTTCCACCTGTTATTCTAAAAGACATTTAAGAATAGAAATTTTTAGGGTTTTTTTATTTCTTCTAAATTTTTGGGAATTTTGAAAATTATTTTTAGATGAACTTCAAGAATGTTTTAAAAAATTCTTATAAATTTTTACATATTTTTTTTAATTCTGAACATTAAAACATTTTTTCCAACATTTTTCGGAATTTTCTTTTCTACATTTTTGAACATTTTGAAAACTGTAATTTTTTAAATTTTTAAATGAACTAATTGTGAAAAGAAACATAGTCATGGAAAAAGTGTCTGATGCTGTTGTGATTTGCAAAATATGTTCCATGTATGTACTCATGACCTGAACTACACATGTACCAAATGTAAACTTAATGAATTTCTTGAAGTAAAAGTAAAAGATCTAGCGGCAACTCCAACCAATCTAAGACTCAACCTACAAAATGAGAAACTCCAACCAAAGCAAGACGACTATCCCCAAATTGAACATAAGGAACAAACTACTACCAGAAGAAATGAACCTGTACACGAACCTTTACAGACAGAGACCGATGGCAACATAGAAGAAAACAACCACCGTCCTAGAGCAAAATCCCTGCTGTCTAGTGTAGCCCAGTCCAGGGAAGCCCCACTGAAGCTGAGCAATCAATTTCATATCCTCCCCCTGGAAAAAAGCCTGCAGACACCTGGAGAAGGACATTAACAGCTGTGACAGGAAGAAAAGCAGCCCAGACTTTCCCAAGAAAAAAAGGTGTGTGTTGGTGATAGGAGATTCACTTCTCAGAAGAACAGAATTGGCAGACTAGATCAGACAATCCATCTAGGGAGATATGTTGTCTCCTTGGAGCAAAAATCAAAGATGTTGCTGAGAGCCTTACTAAAATAATCAAGCCCACAGATTACTATATCAAAAGACTATGAGCAGCTCTGCAAGAAAGTTAAGGAGTTAGGAGCACAAGTGGTGTTTTCATCAATACTTCCAACAAAAGGTCAACATCCAATGAGGGTACAAAGGATTTTAGAAATAAACCACTAGTTTAAGAGATGGTGCCAAAGAGAACTTTGGATTCCTAGACCAGACTGCATTACCTACATAAAGGGCTTCCGGCAAGGGATGGGCTGCCCCTCAAAAGAACTGGGAAAAATGTATTTGGAAGACGACTGGCTCAGCTTATCCAGAGGGCTTTAAAACTAAACCTGAGGGGGGAGGGTGATCAATCTCTAGGATTTTTAGTGCCTAATCCCAAACTTAAACCCCAAGACAGCCAACCAAACAAGGTAGGGAATGATGAGGAAGGGGATATAAAGCAAGAGATGTAGGAACCATATCCAGAGTGAGCCATAAAGGACTCATGCTTATACACTAACGCTCAAGGTTCGGGGAACAAACAGAGTGATCTTAAAAGTACTAGTATATAAGGGCAGGTATTGATACAGTTACCATTACTGAAATTTGATGGGATGAAACTCATGACTGGAATGTACTGCTGGAAGGATATAAACTGTTCAAAAGAAACAGACTTAACAAAAGAGGTGGTGGAATTGCATTACATATAAAAAATCATTACAACTTTATAGAAATGCATAAAATCAATATAATGAAAAATTACTTAGTTTTATTAGCAGGGAACATTTCAAGACTGCTAATGGATCTAAAAAGAACAAAAAAGCCACTTTGAAAGCACATTACCCTGTTTGCATCAATCCGTTTCACTTGGAAGCTCATTTACATTAGATAGCCAAATACATCAGGATTTAAGATAATTCCAAGGTTTTTTTTTAATAAATTATAGTTTACAATCAAAGCTTGGCATTCTTAGCATAAAACAAAACAAAAAAATATGAAAAAACTTCTGCCTGTGAAAACTATGATCCCCAAGACTTCCTGTAGTGAAATATTACTGTAATTGACTTCAATAGCATTTTCGTTTGGCGTATGGAGAGAAATCAAACAGTATTTACTGATCGTGCCAAGGCATGTCCTCTTTTACAGGAAGCTCAGTTCTGAGATTCTTCAGGTGCAGCTGGCCATCTCTTCCTTAAACGATTCATTCTCTGTAAATACAGATGTGCTGGGAATGGTATCACTCTATGACCGTCTTCTCTACATTTGGGGAAGGAGATGCATCAGCAATAGTAGCCAAATAAATAAGATTTCTGTGCAATGTGTGCTGGTGCCTGTAGGAAGAAAAACGAAGCGGCAGTTGAATTTTCAGAACTGCTGTTCTGGTTTCTCAACAGCTGCCAAAGACTTCTGGGGCCTCCTCACTAAAGCAAGCTCTATCCTGTATTCATAGGATTGCAGTTGATGCCTTACACTAAGCTGCTTATTTATGCATCTAATCACTTACTTTGATTTCCCAATTCCAGGACACTGTAAGCCAGTCTAGGGTTAATTACTAACCTCCACCTGAAATAGTATTTTGTTAACTGCATGTTGTCCAATTCCAGTTTGATTATTCTCATCCAGCTAAGTGGAATGGGACAACTTGCCACAGCCAACTTACTGTGGGCCAACTCACCGCAGGAAAATTTAACAATTCGATTTAATTATTTAACAGAAACCTGGCCTTTGAGTTTATCAACACTTTCATGCAAAAGATATTTCCATTGGAAGAAGCACACTTCAGGGGCAGCAGCGGATAATCTGGAGTACGTGACATGGATGCCACTCTTCACCGGAAGGGTTAGGATGATCAACCTGCCCTCAATGGATCCAGGCATGAAAAATGAGTGGGATTTAATCCTGCGTCCTTCTGTCAGAATAAAAATCCTTACTGCAGACATTCTGCGGCTCTTCCTTTATTCTGATATTCCACAATGCAGCGGATCAGCTGATCGTTTTCTTCCAGCAGCTGAAAGTCACAAGAGGCACTGTTACATACAAAGGCAGCTCCTTCTGTAGGAAGTCTGCATCCACCCACCCGCCCTCCTAGAGAATGAAATATTTTGGGGGATATTAAAAAGGATGTTTCTCTTAAATTTTGGGCCAAATTTATATAGATTTTAATTGTTTTTAATATTTGTATTTCATGTTTTTAATTCTGGCTGTGCACCGCCCTGAGTCCTCAGGGAGAAGGGCGGTATATAAATCGAAAATAAATAAATAAATAAATTAATTAAAATAAAATAAAATAAAGAAGGAATTGGGGGGCGGGGAGTCTTAAGGGAGGAAAAAAACCAGCCCCAAGCAGAAACTGAGGCGGCCAGCTTTCAGACATGTGGACTTGGTCATCCATTCAGGAAGGCTGGGTCGGGCAAGGGGGAGGTTGCCAAGATTAGCTCCTCCAGGACCCCACTGGAACCCCACCCACCCTCAGCCCCATTTTGCCAGCTGCCCCAGAAGCGGCCGCTGCGGGTGGGGTGCCTCTGCTCGTCAACAAGCGGCCCTTCCAACTCTTCCTCGAGGCTTCCTAAGCGGCCAGGCCGGAGACGCCCCTCGGGGCTCCCTCAGCCCGGGACCCTCGAATCCACCCCGCAGGCCGCGCGGCCGGGGCTGAAGCCGGACTCGCCATCGGCACATTCGCCATTCCTTCTCCGCCGAGCAGCAGCGCCTCCCGAACCTCCGCCCCAGGCGGGAGACGCTCGCAGGAAGGAAGCGCGGCCCACCCGGAGCCGTTTCCTCCCCGCCCCAGGACGCTCCTTTCGCCGCCAGCCGCCTCTCACCCGTCGCAGCGTCTCCTGGTTCACCTCGGCTTTGCCGCGCAGGCGCTCGGGGACGAAGACCACCGACATGGCGCGACCGGAAAGCCCGCTTTCACGCCGCAAGGCCTGCCGGGACTCCCCGCTACGCGACCATTGGCTGCTCTCTGCGGCTCTCGCGCGGGAGGCCCCGCCCCCACGGGCCCTAGAGACGAGCGATCATGTAGACAAGTTCGCCCCGATGGGCTCCCTAGCTTCCGGGTAAATTTTTTCCCGACCCGCGGAGCGTTTGGGTGCCTTTAGGGGAGACGGGACAGGTTCGGTATTTCAGGGGCTGCCGCGAAGAAGGTGGGAGGTTGCCTGTTTCCCAACACAAGAGCAACGGATGGAAACTAACCAAGGAGAAGCAACCTAGAATGAAGGAAAAATTTGCTAATGGGAAGAGAAGATGCTCCAAAGAAAAGGAATCGAACCTATATCATTTCAGATAAAGCGACTGGTAGAGCAATCAACCAGTGGAATGCCTTCCCTACAGAAAATTCCAACTTTTTATTTTATCTAAGACCTTCCCTTGGGGATTGATCTTAAAACTTCAGGTTGCAAGTTTTCCTGAGCTGCGATGGCGCAGTGGTTAGAATGCAGTACTGCAGGCTACTTCTGCTGGCTGCCTGCAATTTGGCAGTTCAAATCTCACCAGGTCAAGGCTGGCTCAGCCTTCCGTCCTTCCAAGGTCAGTAAAAGGAGGACCCAGATTGCTGGGGGCAAGAAGGCTGACTCCGTAAACCGCTTAGATCTTACAATCCTGTAAAGTGGCATATAATTCTAAGTGCCATTGCTGTTCCTCATCCGAAAAGCCTCCAGTGGCCTCATCCAGGAAGCTTCTTCAGCTCTGACTGGATGGTGGGGAATGGAAAGATTTAGCAAATACCGGTAAATAAAAATAAAGCAACACAGAAAATCATATAATTGCAACTTATGATTTTACTTCTTTGTTTCTATTAACCTTGCTTGCACATGCAAATGAAAATCACATGGCCTTAGAATTCTGGCATGGTCTTAAATGCAAGATTGGTCACAAAGTTTTAAGAGGCTTAACAATGACCATTTAAAATTCTTGAGACCAAAGGTCATTTAAATTTGACAAAAATTTTAAGTTGTGTTAACTTTGAACAGCCTCTGAAACAGTCAGTGAGCAAGACTATCTGTACACATTAGTTTCTAGCTTCTTCTGCAACTCCAATTCATGCTGACATTGTTGAGTGGGTCTCCAAAATGTTTTTTAAAAAAGCCTCCCCTGTGATAATGAAATTAAGAGATTTCAGGTCTTCACCTAAAGTTTAATGCTACAAATCAGTTAAATTGTTGGGCTTTATTTATGCATTTATCAAATTTATATGGCTCACCACAAAGTGATTCTGGGTAGCATGCAATAAAATAAAAAATTAAAACATATAAAATCAGTATACCATATACCATATAAAAAATTAAATACCAGTAAACCATATAAAAAATTTAAACATATAAAACAAGCATTCCCATCTTTTTGTTTTCCTGTCTGCTGCCATTAACTGGACTCTTGGCAACTCACAACAAACATACATTGAAAAAATAAAAATCATAAAATGTCACTTAAAAAAACTTTATTCAGCATAATGTCCAGCACTTCAGTTTTTTAACAGCTTTCAGAATCATTGCCTCAGTAAGATGGGAAGAGTAGAAATTCAGTAAATAAAATTTGGGCCACTGGAGCGTTTGCTGGAGATGGAGCCATAAGAAAAGGTTCCTGTGAATGCCAGCCTTCCTCTCGGTATTAGGGAATCAGAGGCAGCTCCTCCGGAGGTGCCCCTGGCTGGAGAAGGCGGCTCCAGAGGGGCAGCCTAGCTGTCCAGCTGCTTCCCACAGGGTTTATTGGGCACCTTCTGTTAAAATGGGCCCAGAAGGGAGGGGGGGCATCACCCCCACTTTCACCCCCTGGAACCCATTTTGGTCACCATACTACAAAAAAGAGGTTGAGACTTTGGAAAAAGCTCACAGAAGAGCCTGGAGGTTAAACCATACGGAGAACGGCTGCAGGATTTGGGTTTGGCCAGTCTAGAGAAAAGAAGAATTAGGGGGGGACATGATAGCGGCCTTCCAGTATTTGAGGGGCTTCCACAAAGAGGAGGGGGTCAAATTATTCTCCAAAGCACCGGAAGGCAGGACAAGAAATAACGGATGGAAATGAATGGAGGAGAGAAGCAACCTGGAATTAAGCAGTAGCTTCCTAACAGGGAAGACAATTAACCAGTGGAACAGCTGGCCACCAGAAGTTGTGGGCGCCCCATCCCTGGAGGCCTTTAAGAAGAGCCTCCCTTCCAGCTCATCCTCTTCCACTCTTTGCAGGCAGCATCACGCCGCGCCCCTTTCCCGGCCCTCCTCCTCTTCCGCGCCTCCCGGGGAGGGACGAGGCCCCGAGCCCCCGCTCCCTCCCCCCGTGGCCCAGGCGGCGCTTACTTCCGGCGGCCCTGCTCTGTCAGGCCACGCCCACTTGAGGCGCTTCCGTCTACAGCCCCGCCCCTTTCGCGCAGAGCCTTGTTCTCCGCAGAAGCCCGGCGCCGCGCCTTGGCGACTCTGCTTTTCTTAAGTCTACGGGAATCGCAGCCCTTTCTCGCGCTCTCCAATCTCGTAGCGATTGGTCAACGTCTCCGGCAAAGGCGGCCCTCGCTTTGATTGGCACGCCGGCAAGCCAACGACAGAGCCAGGTAGTCGTGCCCGGGAGGGTCGCTTCGTGCGCGGTCTGTTGCCAGGGCGTCGGTTGTCCGGCAGCGGCCAATCGGGGCGCGGGATGGGCTGAGGGCGCCCGGAGCCGTTCCCCGCAGAAGCGCCGCCGCTCCGCCAGGTGGGTCTTCAAGCGGCTCGCTGGGCCGGAGGCCGCGGGGGGCTTCCCGGTCTCAGCTCGCCGGGGGTTGCCGCGCCATTCCTCGGCCGGCGGCGCGGCGGAACTCCCCGCCACCAGACGTCAAGGCGGCCCGAGCCGAGGGCGGAGTCGGGCCGCAGCCCGGTGGGCTCGGCGCGGTTCTGGGCTCCCGCCGCATCCCCGGAGGGAGGGCGGGGCTGCGCTGGGCTTCCCTTTCAGCCGATCTCCTCCCGCCTGCAGAGCGCCTGGAAGGGAGACGCCGCCGCCGCCGCCGCCACGGATGGTTCCCGGCTGACGAAGCTGCCGCAGCTGCTCTCTCGGGGGCCGGAGCCGGGGACCTGGGGGGCTGAGCCCCCGCGCTGCCGGACAAGGCCCCGGTCAGGACGGGGAGGCGGCCATGGCGGCAGCCGTCGCCACCAAGACGGCCTGGAAGCTGCGTGAGTGGAGCTGCCCCGCTTCTCCGCTTCTCGGCCCTCGCAGGAAGGGGGCGGGGGAGGGGGGAGGTGGGGGGGGGCGGTCAGAGGAGGCTCTTGGCGGCTGCTCCGGGAGGAAGCCCAGGAGGAGGAGGAGGAGGAGGCGGCGGCGGCTCTTGTGCCCCATTGCCCCAGTGTGGGTGATGCTTGGCGGCCTTTCCCTGAGAGCAGAGGCAGAAGAAGCCCCTGCAGGAAGGGAGCCGAGCGAGCGAGCCAGCGAAAGAAGCCAATAACCGCCCTGTTTTTATGCAGAGGAAATCATCGCCCACAGCAGCAACGTCTCTTCGCTTGTCCTGAGCAAAAGTTCAGGCCGGCTCCTGGCAACGGGCGGAGATGATTGCCGCGTTAACGTCTGGTCAGTGAACAAGCCCAACTGCGTGATGGTAAGGTTTGCTTCCCTCCTTCGCCATAATCCAAGAGCCCTGGTAGCGCAGCAGACTAAAGCACTGTTATTAACATCCACTTACATCTGCTGCCTGCAGTTACTGCAGGTTCGAATCTCACCAGGCTCAAGGTTGACTCAGCCTTCCATCCTTTCTAAGGTAGGTAAAATGAGGACCCAGTTTGTGGGGGCAATAAGCTGACTTTGTATAAATATACAAAAGTATGAAGGCTATTGCTTAACGCATTGTAAGCCTCCCTGAGTCTCCGGAGAAGGGCGGCATATAAATCAAATTAAAAAAAAAAAAGATGAGCCCAAAGCAGCTCTGCCTTTGTCCTTTTCCACCCTGGTCCTCCTTTTCTTCATCTGGAACCAAAGAGGGGAGGAGCCCTTGTTTCTTCCTCCCGGGTTGTCAGTTGTGGCTCTTTAGGTCAGTGTTTCTCAACCTCAGCCCCTTGAAGATATGCAGACTTCAACTCCCAGGATTCTGGAAGTTGAAATCCGCACATCTTCAAGTGGCCGAGGTTGAGAAGCACTGCTTTAGGTGCTGTGCTGGGCAGTTGAAAAGGGCCCAGGGAGCTCTGGAACAAGAGGCTTGACACGTGGGCCCAGGCTGATTTTGAACGGTTAGCAGCAGAGACTGGCTACCCTGTTTTATTGAGTAGACTGCATTTGGTGGGATTCAAATCACCTGCTAAGCCAGAGAAGCCACATCATGGCTTTGCAAAAGTGGACGTTCTGTCTCTTTCCCGCAATATTTTTTTTTATAAATGTGTGATTTTTAAAGGGCTTTCTTTCTTTCCTATCTCCACACAAATGTATTGAATAAAAGTCACTGTTTGAGAACAGCATTACAAGATATGATCCTATGTAGCCGGCTTGTATTCTCACTGATGCGCTCACCAGTACGCTCCCATAGAGAGGGGCTCCTCAGGGTGCCGTCGGCCAAACAGTGTCGACTGGCGGCCCCCAGGGGGAGAGCCTTCTCTGTGGGGGCACCTACCATCTGGAACGAGCTCCCCCCAGAGATACGGAAGATCCCGGACCTGCGCACGTTTCGCCGTGCTCTCAAAACTTTTCTATTTCAGCAAGCTGGCCTGGCCTAACTCCCATCTTTTAAATTTTTAATTTTTTTAATTCGTGATTTTACAAATTGGGTGTTTTAATCTGTGTTTCGGCCGAAATATTTAATAATTTTAAGGGATTTTTTAATATTTGTATTATCTGTATTTTATCTTGGCTGTTCACCGCCCTGAGTCCTTCGGGAGTAGGGCGGTATAGAAATTTGATTAATAAATAAATAAATAAAAATGCCCCTTTAGTTTGTTGGAGGGTTACATATAATAATATTGATATTGCCAGAGTTTCTTTTTCTGCTGATTGTTTAATCTTCCAGATTCTGTGTAGTGTATAAAGGAGAAAAGAAATGTACTTAGTAGACATACATAAGGGCTGTGCTGTTGGAATATTATGCTGCCTAATTCTGGCCCGGTGGAATTCCGAATTGGGAAGTGAAGAAACAAACTTGACAAACCCAGGGCTACATTATTTGAGGAGAGAAAGTGACCCTACACAGGTTTTTGTTACTGCTCTAAGAAAGTAATTATTCTGCTGCCCTTTTTGGCTAACAATATTAATGTTTTGTTTTTCTTGGCTGATGACTTACTATCTTTTCAACAATGAGGTGCTTAACAGAATGGCCATGTACTCTACCATCAGTTACCGTATTTTTCGCACTATAAGATGCCCTGGACTATAAGATGCACATTAGCTTTAGAGGAGGAAATCAAGAAAAAAAAATCTGCCTCTGCCTCCCAGCATCCATCCAGTATTCATCTGGCTAGCATCCTTGCAGCAAACAGCCTGGCTCTGCTGCCTCCATTTGGGAATGCTGGAGCCTTTACTGCCGAGCAGCTGATTGGCGGTTGATTCGGTCTCCCAGTGGTGATCAACTGTTCTAGGCTGTTCTAGGTGGCGGGGATTGCCGCCACCACTCATTCTTCACCGAGTTCATCACCGTTGCCCAATCGGCGGCAATAGACAGTGGTGATCAGGTGGCAGCGAACGGGCGGTGGCAATTGGTGGCAGCGAATGGCCAGCGATAGGCCTAGAGCAGCTGAGCATTGGTATTCTGGGAGGCCTATCCAACCCCTAATCAGCTGCTCAGCAGAGAAGGCTCCAGCATTCCCTGGTGTTTGACGCCGCCGCACCAAACCCAACCCACCCATCCACCCACCCCCGGCCACAATATTTGCTCTATAGGACGCACAGACATTTCCACCCACTTTTGGGTGGGGGGAAGTGTGTCTTATAGTGTGAAAAATACGGAATATCCTAAAGAACTCGTGTTTTGATTACCATCCAGGGCAATATAGGTTATCATCAAGTAACAGTGTTTTTCTACCAGTTTTCCTAATTGAAAGTTCTTGGGCAAAATAATTATTGGCTGCTATTTGATTTGCACTACATCCCCACAGCAGAACGGTTGAATCTGTAAGGTGAAAAGCAGGTCTCAACCCCACTTTCCCAAAAGCCCTCAAGGAGTTCCAGCACTTACCTCAGCCAGGTCCCGCTTGTTCAGTGGCATGGAAGTTCCCACTTCCATCCACATATCTCCCACCCCCAAAGGCTGTGTGTGAAGGAAGTTGCTAACAACCTGTACTGCCTTTAGTCCCCAGAAAGTTAAAATGGAGATAACGAACTAATTATAATGCAACCTCCTGGCCAGAGGATTCAGATTTTGTTTCGTTCTCCAGTGGGAGATGAGCCAATTTCATAAAAGTTAAATTTTATTAGGAAAAAAAGACATGAGGAATCCTCCCTTTTTATTTTAATACTCGTTAAGAAAGAAGGTAACTTGCGGAGCTGCCCAATTTCACAGGAGGGTGTGTGTTTGTTTTCAAACTACTCTTGACTCTTGGCAACTACAAAGTCCATGTCGTTTCCTAGGCAAGAGTTCTGGCAGTAGCTTTGCTATGGCTTACTTGGTTAAAAACAGAAAAGGGAAAATTCCCAAAGACGTATGTTACACTTCTGGTAAACCACAAGATGGTGGTTTTACAGGTTGCTTTGACAGTCTTTTGGCAACTTAACCAAACACTTTGCTGGAAGAAGAGAGGGGCATCCACTAAGTAACTCTTTCTTTTGCTGACTTAGCGTGTCTCTAAAGACAGCCATCTCCAGCAGTGTGTGAGTTGTGCTTTTCCGTGGTCACACCCTAGCATTTTAGCCTTGTGGTTGGGCAAATTTCCTTAACCAGTCAGTAGGCAGCTCAACCTGCAGCACAGTGTGATAAGGGAGTTTTTTCCCAGTGTTTGGCCCAACTGACTCCATATAGCGATGGGAAGGGACGGCATGCACTACCCTAAGCTGCTTACAGGAGAGGCTGGGTAAAATGCCGTCTGCTTCTTGCTCATAACAGCACTTGTTCCTTTAGGATGCTCTCAACAGACCTTCGCTTTTCCCAAGTTAACATGCCCTAAGTGCAAACATACTTCTACACAAACGTTAGAAATATATTTGGGTAGCAATGAATGCTGACAGAATGTTTCTGGCTAATGATATTTTGCAGTCCAGTATTTACTTAAGGAAAATTACTGACAGTTTTTAATTTTGATACTACAAAGGCTGTGATGACGATTACCCCAGCCACTGCGGCTTCCTTAGCAAACCATTACTCTAAACACTGCAAATCCGGTTGATGTTTCATCCAAGAAAGTTATATTGCATCCCAAACAGAGGGACTGTGAAGTTGTTAAGCTGCAGCTTCTAGGCCTTCTCTATAGCTGGGAATCTGAACACAGCCAGTGCAGGGTGAGTGTGGATTGCTGATATTTCAGCTTCAGGTTGAGGCTAGATTGGTGGGCTCCCAATCTCACTTTTACAGCACAAATCTCCCAAGGCCTCTGGGCTGATCTGGAGGCCGGTGAAAAATCTCCCTCCTCCCCAAAAGGCCCAGTAGCCTTTGTCCTCTTAAGAGAAAAAATACATGGCTTCTAGAAGTTGGCACTCTTTTCCGGAGCATCAATATCCAGAAATTGGGGTGACAAGGAAAAAAACAACTTTAGGAATCATGTTGGGGGCCATCATGATTAAATCAGTCACCATTGTAAAAGTAGCTTATTGTTTAGATATAAAGTCATATATAAATCTCTGTTTGTGAAAGTAACTGCTACTGTATTGTTTCACATTACTCCACAAATGGAGATTATCTAATTTCCAGAGCAAACTTCACAACTGTGGTGATTGCACATTACCAAGGCTTTTCTTTTTATTTTCTTTTAAATATTTACTGATTAATTTTAGCAATGAATACCCCAAATGTGTATTCCTTACACTAGATGTAGAAAGTCTACATACTGCTGTTAAAATGTCAGATTTTTGAGATGTAAAAAAATAATAGCAACATGAACCATTTCAATTTTTTCTACCTTTAGGATAACATAAACTGTACAATTCAATTGAAAAACAAACTGAAATCTTTTAGGGGGAAAAATAACAATTAAAAAACTGACAATAATGTGGTTGCATAAAAATGCACACCCTTAAACTAATACTTTGCTGAAGCAGCTTTTGATTTTATGACAGCATTCAGTCTTCTGGCGTAGGAACCTGTGAGCATGGCACAGCTTCACTTGGGGATCTTTGCCCACTCTTCCTTACAAAAGCACCCCAAAATCTGCATAGGAGATGCCCTCCAAATTGTGAGGGCATCTCCTGTGCACAGCCCTCTTCAGATCATCCCACAGATTTTCAGTTGGATTCAGATCTGGGCTCTGGCTGGGCCATTCCAAAATCTTGCTCTTCTTCTGGGAAGCCATTCTTTTGTTGATTTGGAGGTATGCTTTGGTTCATTGTTTTAGCAAAGGGTGTATAGACTTTCTACATCCACTGTATATGTCAGCACAGCACCCAACCCCATATTTCCTTCTGGCTCAAAGAAATGGAACTATTTTCCATTGGTTGACATTTGTCTCCTTGCTACCACAGATATCCCTGGAGCTGAACAGCTGTAGATACTCTTTTTAACAGTGCTGAGAGAGAGATTCTGCCTTTCTATGAAGAGAATTCAGAGGCAGAAATAGCAGTTGGTCAATAGGAAAAAAATAGTAATTTATTTTGCAGTCATCTTTTAAATCAAGAAGGTACTTATTGTTTACTAAGACAAAGACTAGCAAATTGACGTATTTGCATAATTTTGACCTGTCTTGCACCAAAAGACAAAATTAAGCCTATCACAAAAAAAATTTATGTGCTGCTACTGCTCAGATCCTTATTTCATGACCAAGTTAATTGTGGCTGGCACCCCTCCCTTCAGTTGGCTGACTCTTGTTTTTTTCATCTTGATCAGAGTCTAACCGGTCACACAACGCCTGTGGAGAGCGTGAAGATTAATACAAATGAAGAGCTCATTGTTGCAGGATCTCAGTCAGGCTCCATTCGTATCTGGGACTTGGAAGCAGCCAAAAGTAGGTTTGAAAGAAGTTCTGGCACCTTCCCTCATCTAGCTGGCCTGTAGAAAGGAAGCCAGAGAACCATGTTTTGCTCTGAGGGTTACTTCTTTAGTCTTTTTCAGATAAAAGTCTGTAGTTGATCTCGGTCTGTTCTGTATGAGAACTGGGTCTCCCTGGATTCTCCCAGGTGGGCCACCGAGAATGATCAGGAGTTTTGAGCCACAGATTTCCTTTCTGGGCACACAGTAGCTTTGCCTTAAGAAATCGTAACATGAAAAACAAAAATGCACGTGACCCTCAGGTTTTCCATTGCACATAGACATTTATTGAAATTGATTGGTGATCTTATTTAGAATTAAATCTTCGTTAAAAGTGCCTGTTATTAAGAGAACTGGTTCTCCTTCAAGCAACAGAGAGAAATTATACAGTACATAGATTAGGATTTCATTTGATAAATATTTATAATATAGACACACAATTCAGCAATTATAGCATTTTAAATGCCTTGGCATGTTATATGCTTATGTGTAATATCAGCAGGGTACCACTTTTCAAAAAGCATGAAAATGCCTTGCTAGCATCAGTCCAATAACTAGAGCCAGGCTTCATTAGAAAAACACGATTCTGTGGTGTTCTTAAAAAAGCATGTGATGTTCCAAAGAATGTGGAAAGGATTCTGGCCTGTAGGGTCATTTCTTGGGACATTGGCTCTTTTCTGTCTCTACGTTTCATCTATAAGCCATGGCTAATTATAAAACTCTATATAAATGTGTAATCATACAAATATTGCAATTATAGCAAGAACTATTTTAAAAAGGATTATCGTATTTTCCGGCGTATAAGACGACTTTTTAACACAGGAAAATCATCTCAAAAGTCGGGGGTCGTCTTATACGCCGGGTACCCGAATCTGAGTTGCTGGCGCTGACCGATGACGCTACGGGAGCATTGAGGGGAAGCTGTGCCAATCTCGTCAAGCCTGCATGCCACTCAATGCTGGAACCAGCTGGTTTCTGCGCAGAGCTTCCCCCAGGCATCCAGGGGGATATTACCGACGCTCCGACTTCCCCAGTTGACCCCCAGTGATGGCGAGCCCCACGTGTCTGGGGAAGTCGGAGCGTTGGTAATATCCCCCTGGATGCCTGGGGGAAGCTCCGCTCAGCAACCAGCTGAGCAACCTGTATTTTTAAAGCTTTTATATGTTTTCGTCCCCTATTGCAGTGCAGGCTCCAACATGTTGTACTTACTATAGCCTTCAGCACCCATACAAAAAAAATTCATATCCCTGGTTTATGGTTAAGATGCCCAATTTATGGTATTTCAGCCAGAAGTAATCTGCATTATACCGGATAATGCACTTAAGTTCAATTTAAACCTTAAGCAGAATGGCTTGCCTCAAGTCTTTATGACTAAGCATGTTTGCTTTAACCAGGCTTTATGCCAATACTATGTAATTGGAAACTGTTTTTAGTAAAACCTTAAAAGTGTTTTTCCCCCCTCTTTTTTAAGAAAATGGATGAGGAAGGATATAAGTACAGTGTGCTTTGTTGGCTGGGTAAAATCATTATTGTCTGAACCGCGAAATTTAAAATTATGAAGTTGGTGGTCCCTGAGGTCCAAAAGGTTGGGGACCCCTGGCCTAAGACCATCAGAAAACACATATTTTTGATGGTTTTAGGAATAACTTTATGGTTGGGGGTCACCACAACATGAGGAACTGTATTAAAGGGTCGCGGCATTAGGAAGGTTGAGAACCAATGCCATAGCTGCTTGCCTTGCTTCGCTTCGAATCCATTCCATCAGCAAGCAACTCCCTGCCTGCAATCAAGCAGGCAGGGAGTTGTGGACTTCAACTCCCAGAATTCCTCAGCCAGCAAAACAAAGCTGGCTGAGGAATTCTGGGAGTTGAAGTCTACAAGTCTTAAAGTTGTCAAGGTTGGAGACCCCTGTTCTATTGGGTAAGTTTTTTTCCCCTTTGGGATCTTTAAAAAAAATAGTTAATTGGGGTTTTTTTTAGTTGTTCTTTTTTAGACCTAGCCATTTAAAGTTTAGGAAGTTTTAAATTTAGTTTTCATATAAAAATTAAAATAAAATAAAATAATATTTGTGCAGCTTTCTGAGATTTAGTGTGTTTCTGTAGTGTTTCACTCTAACTACACAAACACACAAAATCTCACAAAGCTGTATGTGGAATTTTGTGTGTGTAAAGTGTGAAAGTTGGGTTTTGGGGCTTTTTGTGGCTGTGTGAGGTTCCTGCTTGTTGCAGGGACCATTTTGGGCCTAGCACAGCTGCTTTTACATTGTGGGTGAGCCAGTTGATGTTTTTTTAATTTTTATTTGGTGTGCGTTGGAAGAGGGGTAGTCTTATACGGTGAGTATAGCCCAAACCCTATATTTTAACAGGAAAATTCGGGGGTCATCTTATACGCCCAGTCATCTTATACGCCGGAAAATACGGTAGCAAATGGAAAAAACTGTCCCAAAATGATCTCATAAAAGGTATTGATTAATACAAGAACTCAGAACTTCATTGTGTTTTGAAATAAAAAGATGACTCTACTACGTTGGCCAATTGCATCCCAAAAGCAGCAGGCATCACCTGATCACCTGGCTCACACAGGGAGATTTCAACAATTCCTCTCCTATGAAATCCCTGGCCTGTGGAAGAAGCAGCCGGGGGGTGAGCCAGGGCAGGTAGAAGCAAGCGCTTAAAAGGATGATCAGGGGAAGGTTTTTCCCACCAGGCTGGCTTCCCTGCAGTCCCCCCACCCCCACCCCCCGGTCTTTTTCTGGGCTCAGGCAAAGGATGTCTAGGCAGAAGTATTGGCATTGCTCTTGTTGAGTGAAAAAGTTGGCATTGTTTACAAGCATCTGGAAAGTCAGTTGCAGCAACCACCAGCTGAAGTGGCCTTGGTTTCCTTACGATTTACCTCCACACTAATGGGACAGACCAGACTCTGGAGCCTTCTGGACGAAAATGGCTTCTGCAACTGGCATATTTTTCCCACTACTGTAAAATCATTTCAGCCCTTGACTGTTGCTTGCTAGGTTTGACTAGTCGGTTGACTAAGAAGTTGCAGCTGTAAGTTTTTATCATTCATCTATTATAGGAAGTAGATCCTGTTTGTCTGGTGTGTTCAGTTCAGTTTTGCACACAATATGTGGCCTCCTGTAACAAGTTTATAAAGATTTAATATCCTTCCCCATTGATTTCTTCTGCTATAGAAAAATGATCCTAATCTGACCCATTCGCTTTTAAAAGAAGCCGCATTTTTATTTAACTTTATAATAAATTATTTTAAAAAGAAAACTTAACTAAATATAACACAAAATTATACCAGCCATGCTGTCTGGCATGCATTTATCACTGGCAAAATAATGTCTTTTTAAATCAGAATTTTCTTTCCCTGAATTTCCTCTTCAGTCCTCCGCACGTTAATGGGCCATAAGGCAAATATTTGCAGCCTGGAGTTCCATCCTTATGGAGGCTTTGTAGCTTCAGGGTCCATGGACACCAACATTAAGGTAAGACCAATACATACATACATACATCTCTCTCTCCCTCCCCCCCTCCCTCTCCATGGTCTTGTGGAATGGTGATGAATGTTGTGACAGGCAGAAGCAGATTAAACGAATTAATAGTCAGTGTACTCGAGTAGCTGCTTGGAGTTCTTGTTTTTGAATGTGTCTTTTTGCCACTTCTGAATTTTGGTCAATTTCTTGTCATCCTATTGTAGTCTGCATTTCTTCATGAAATGAAGATGGGGAAGAGTTTTGCTGCTTGGCAGATTTGCTCTTTTCAAAAGCGCCCAGAGATCTGAAAGACATGAATATTGTTCTGGGTAACCCTGAACAAACAATACTTTCCCCCCAACATGGAGGTAGCCCAGCCATTTCTAGAACCACAGAAAGATCTGTGCACCATTATCAAACTCAGAAGGAAGAGGAAAAGAGGAATGCAGAAGAAGTTCCATGAAAAAGGGAGAGATGCGTCTTAGAGTGCGCCAAATATCCCTTTCAAATTCTATTCGCTCCGTGCTCTGAAACAGTTACTCAGTCCCAAGTCAGAAATCAGGACTTCTTCATGTTAAGACAAGCCTTGATTGATTAGGACAGTTAAATGTTTTCTTCTTTTCAAAAGAAACAATATCTTTTCTTTCTTGCAGCTTTGGGATGTAAGAAAAAAAAGTTGTGTCTTCAGGTACAAGGTAAGGAGAAAAATAGGTTCTGTTTCACCTGATGTCCTGAAACCCACCTGTGCAACGCATAACATTTACTGGGACAATTTGAAAAGCTTTATGATCAATATACTTGTATTCTAATAAAGAGAAAACTATTAATCCATTTTCCTGTAAGATAAAGTATTCCGTTTTAATTGCACTTATAAGCAATTTGTTTTTCCTGATGTTCCCCCGGTTGAGCCTACCGTGAAATCCAGAGGCCGGGGGAAGGGGCAGAAGAGGGCGAGGGAAGCCGTCCTTTGGCAGACCTGGCCCTGGGATATTTGCGCACACGAGAGTTGTTAAGGGTCTTTCCCCTCCTTCCGTCTCCTTTGCTGTCTTCTCTGACCCAGGAATTTCTCGGGTGTGTCATCCTAGGGGCTGACTTTAGGCAAGAACTTCTCTCTCAGCCCAACCTCTCATTGGCTGCAGTTGTCTAAAGGTGGGAGAAGCAGGTATTTTGAACGTTGCCTTGAAGGAAAAGCTGGATGCAAACCCTTTCCCTTTGCAGGGCCACACAGGACCGGTTCGGTGTCTTCGCTTCAGTCCAGACGGGAAGTGGCTGGCATCTTCCTCTGAAGACCACACAGTGAAGGTAGATTCCTCTGCCCCCCCCCACGCCCCCCCTCTCGATGGCAGCCTGGGCCATCAAACAGCTTAGCTGATGGGTGTGAAATTTGTGAGCACCCTGGCAAGAAAAGCTTTTGTGGTTCTTTCCCTGCCTAGTTGTGGGACCTGGCTGCTGGAAAGATCATGTCTGAGTTCACGGGGCACACGGGACCAGTCAACGTCATTGAATTCCACCCCAATGAGTACCTTTTGGCCTCGGGAAGCTCCGACAGGTAAAATTGGCTCCGGCTGGGGCTGGAGATGCTGTCTTGAGGTGGAAGATTTGCTGAGGGTTTGTTAGAATATGTCACAAGCACTCATGGTGTGGCGTGTAGGCTTTGAATTGTTATTGACGTTGTGCGTGGAAGATGTTCCTGCTTTTAGGGAAGCCTTTTCTTCACCAGCTGGAAGCTGGTGCTTCAGAAGGAAGTCAGGATTTGCCCTCTGAGGTCCCCATCATGTTTTCCATAGTGTTGAAGCCTCCATGAAGCTCCTGAGAGATGTTGTACCTGGTCCTGGAGATGCTCTTTGTGCTCAAACCCAGCATTTCTCCATTTGCTGCCCTCCCTCCCTTCCCTACTGTGAAAATTTAGAATTCTTCAAATGTCGAATCCTTCAGGATTCTCTCAGCTCTCAGGATTCAATAACTGCGTGGCATAAACAGAGGTGTTGATGTTTAACTGACCTGTTAAGTTGTCAGTATGTAAAATCTTTCCCGGTGGGTTGTGGTCCCCTAAAGCAGAGCTTCCCAACTTTTCCAGCTTTGCAGAACAGCAGGGGGAAGGGGGATGCCATGCTTCCTTGTGAGCGGTGGGCAAATGCACATGCAGCTCCATTTGCGCAAGCGACTGGCACACAGTGGAGCGCATGAGCTCGCCCACTGCTCACATAAGTGGAGAAGTGCACCTGCACCTGCCCAGCACTTCTGTGTCCTGGTTCAGAACGGCTCAAGGCCCACAGCCTGGGCATTGGGACCCCTGCCCTAAAGGATTCAGCTGCCTGGATGCTTCTTGACTCAGACCCAGCAAAGTGTCTTCTTCCTGCTGTAGAAGAGAGGGTGGTCCTTCCCCCGTCAGCCACAATGCATGCCAAGTGATTGTTCTTGTCTTCCCATGTTTTTTAGCCTGCTGCTCGTCTCCAGAGTCTTAGGCCGGAGTTGTGTGCCTTAGAAGTCTTGTCTTCTGCCCTCTTTTGCCACTCATTGGCTTTCCTCCTGAGTTGTGCAACCCTTTTATTATTTTTATTTCCTGGATTATCAATTAAACAGGATTAAATTGTAGAAATATACTTCTGTGTATTCAAGTCAGTTTCTTTTGCTGATTCTACATTTTTCAAAGCATTTGTAGCATGAAATGTTAGCCTGCATTTCTTAGACAATATCTGCTATCTTCTTTCTCTGACTCAAAACCAAAAGTTTCACTCCAGATACGTTTTCCTGATTTCCTAGCAGTGTTTTACTTTTGGACATACTGTATCCTATGTTCTGATGGTCATAGATACATAGGTGCATACATAGGGTCATGTTTTTAAAAAAGCCAGAGATCCTTATAATCTTCCTCAAAGGTTCTTTGATTAGGAAATATTAGCCTGGATTAAAAAATGAAGCCTACTCCAGTATGTTGATAGGAGGGGCCATGTGCAGAAGTTTACTAGGCAAAAGCTATTTGAAGCCCCACCCCCCAAAAAATATTCATGCTCTTTCACATTTCCCCCAGGGGCTTAGAGCCCGGCTGAGGTACTTCTTGCTCCTTTAGATGACGGATGGTCTGTTCAAGGAGAGGTGGGCCAGCGTTCCTCACTTTAGGGATTTGAGCAAGTGGCAGCTCTCCTTCAGAACCCAGAAATAGAGAAATGAGATGTAAAAGGAGCTGGAAGTCGGAGCTTGGCGGTTGGTTGTGGCTGGAAGCAAAGAAGGTGGGATTGGAGAGAGCTGATCTTTCACTTCCATCGTCTTTGCTTTTTTGTTTTCTTGTAGGACAGTCAGATTCTGGGATTTGGAGAAGTTCCAAACAGTGAGCTGCATTGAGGAAGAGGCCACGCCTGTTAGGTAAGATGCAACAGGTGTTTGTCAGCAGGACTGGGGGTGAGTTGTTAGTCCAGGGGTTTCCACCCATCCAGAGCTACAGCTGGCCAATTTCAGGCTTTCCTTCAAATTTGGGGGCCGTGTCAGGTGGAATGGCACTCTTGTTGTTGCCTCCTCCCCCAACCCCCTGCAGGTGCGTGCTTTTCAACCCTGACGGCTGCTGCTTATATGCCGGCACCCAGGATGCCCTGCGAGTCTATGGCTGGGAGCCCGAGCGCTGCTTTGAAGTGGTCTTGGTGAATTGGGGCAAAGTGGCTGATTTATCTATCTGTAACAATCAGTTGGTGAGTGAAGGAATGTCAGAGTCAGATTTTCTGGATGATTCTGGCTCCAGTTGTTGTGCTGCTCCCTACAAAGGGCTTCAAGGGGGCTGGGGCAGGAACAGTGGGGATCCCCCCCACCACCACACACACACACCCCTTGTTGCTTGCCAAGCAGCTTTCCTTCCCTCTCCTGGCAAACCCATAGCCCTAGTTCTCCAGATGGCTTTGAGGAAGGGCAGCCAACCTGATGCAGCACAGAATCTTTTTCTAGATGGTGCTTGAAAACACCTAAAATTCTAAGAATGTGGATTCTTTCTGTTAGATTGGCGTTTCTTTTACCCAAAGCACCGTCTCATCCTATGTTGTGGACCTCAGCAGAATCACAAAATGTGGGTCTGGGCTCCATGGGCTGATCAGAGATGACAAACCCCTGAGTCCGCCCCCATCTCTGGGCTCCTCCCTACGACGAATCTATGAAAGGCCAGCCACCACCTGCAGCAAGCCCCAGAGGTGAGGGAAGGGCAGGCTTTTCGGGAGGACGGGTGAACGGGGGGCTCCTGGGTGGTGGAGGCTCAGCTTCCTGGTCCTGTCTCTGTCTCGCACCCATCAGAATGAAACACAACTCAGAGAGTGAGAGGCGCAGTCCAAGCAGCGAGGATGACAAGGAAGAAAGGGAATCCACTGCAGAGATCCAGAACTTGGAGGATTACAAAGAGATATTCCGGCCAAAGAACTCCATCAGTGAGTTGGACTTAATGTTCTTGGATTGCTTTGGCTTGAAGTTGGGCAAAATCTGTGCATAAATCTTTCCAGTGTGTATAGCCTCAGCTTTATGAAGCTGTTAAGAATGCCTGTTCTATAAAGCTCCAGCTGCTTTTGTCAACTCTTCCCTCCAGAAGCTTCCAAGAGGCCATCTTGAGTCTCCAGGTTGCTACAAAAGAGCTTGACCCACAGTTACTCAGGTGGTGAGAGAGATCATCGTATCTGAGTTTCCAGGTGGATCTTTAGCAAGGGTTTTACTTCCCCTGAATGCACTGTTGGAAGGTATAAACAGCAGTGATTTGGAGCTTGTATTGCTAGGCTCCTTGTGCCCGGAGTCCTTCGGGTGACCTGAAGGCGGGAAGAGTTACTAGACAGCGCAGAAGTTAAGCTGCAGAAATCCAGAATAATGCCGTTTCTTTTGTAACCTTATGAAAAAGAAAAAAGTTCCAGTAGAAGTTGGGGTTTTGTCTCTACAGCACGAACTCCCCCCAGCAAGAGCGAGCCTTTTCCTGCACCTCCAGAAGATGGTGAGTTCAGAGCGCTGGGGAGGGGGCGGGGGGGGGGCTTTCCTGACGTCTCTTGGGCATTTGTAAGCGGTAAAGGGGAACACTGGGTGGGGCTGCGGTTTAACCTTTGGTGTTCCTTGCAGTCAATGAAAATAATAGGGGGAGCATTGAGTATAGTGGACAGTTTGGTTCTTTGCTCCCAAGGTGGCCAAAGGGGAGTCAGCTCAGCCCAGGGCAAAGGAGAGCAGAGACTTCCCCTTGTAGCTGGGCCTTCAGAGATGCCTGGGAGCAGTGGGGGTCTCAGGGAAGCCCCCAAGCAGGGCACGTACCCAGATGCTCCTGTCTTGCTTTCTGCAGCAGTCCAGGGGGTGGTATCCAGCCTCCCTGACTGCAGCCCTAGGTGGCCACCTTTTCTCTGGGACTTTGCTCAGTCAGTCAGTGGCATTTCCCGCGGAAGCTACTCATCCCCAGGGACCATCGTCCTGTTTTGTGGGACTGAACTACACAATTCCTGTGAAGAAATACCTAAGAATTGGGCCGAATGAAAACTTCTCACCTGTCGTTATCAGGCAGTGCGTGATTTTATGTACTTTCGTCAAGCGACTTTTTATGCACCATCTTTGTAAGCTTCAGAAAGTCCAAACCCTGGGGCTTTTCTCCAGAGCTCTCGTGCCCCCCTTCTGCCCAGCAGCATTGGTTTGGTTGGGGCTTTTTTGCCCTCTCCCAAGAGACCCTTTCCCCGTCTCCCTCTAGAGGCAGCCCCTGTGAAAGAAGCCTCGCAGGCTGGTCAAATAGGAGATGTCGCGTCCCCGTTGCCAGGCCAGGAGAGGGTAAGTGCCTTGCCCCCCGGTTTGCCAGATCAGGGCTGCTCCTTTGTGGGTGGAGGCCGCCTCTGTCAACATCCTGCATTGGGGTGGGGGGGCAAATGAGTGGCTTTTTTCGGGCTTTGAGCTGGCCAGTCCTGAGTGAGCGTGAGGAAAGGCTTGTGCCTGCAGCCCTCTTTGTCCAAGGGCCTGATTAGGCTTTTGAGCAATGGGGCAGCAGGAGGGCAGCAGGTCTCCCTCCCCCCCCTCCTTCTCTCTCTCTCTGTCAACCATCCCATTGGTAAATGTAGCAAAAGAAATTCCTGGGACATTATTTTACCAAGAGTCTAACTTTACTGATAATTCCACATTGGCACAGAAATAGCAACACCAGTTCTAAAAACAGCATAGGTAAAAAACCCTTTTCCCCCTGGACCTCCCCACAGTTCATTGTCCACCAATCAATTACTACTTTCATTTTATCTTGGGAACATTGTGAGCACCTTGGAGTTTTCCCAGTGTTTGACCTTGGGATATTGGGTTGCATCCCAGGCTTTGTCCCTGCCTTACATTCCAATACTTTCCCTCCCCCCTTCCAGTTTCTGTTGTCTGGATGCAAGCAGGGGTGTGTAGTAAGTAAGCCATGATTCTCATTCTCTCTCTCTCTCCCCCCCCTTCCCCTCTCTCCCTTCTTTCTCTCTTTTTCTATCTTTTTGCCCTGGAAAATTGTGTGACCGTCATGTCCTGCCCTTCCCTACTGCAGACAGACCCTATTCAGAGGCAGCCCGTAGCTGCTTCCACCCCAATAACGCGGGTGGAGCCCTCGGTGATTCCAGCTGCCAGGAATGAGCCTATTGGGTTGAAGGCCTCTGACTTCCTGCCGGTAGGTTTCTTGCTTGCCAAAAAAAGAAGAAATAGCTCAGCAGCTAAGTTAGGGAGCAGTTTTCGATTTGACCAAAGGCCGAACAGTCTTTAGCGCATGCTTGAAGATGGCGGTGTTGGGTGAGCTCCCGGTCTGACGATGGGGGCTATTTGGTCTTTTCGGGGGGTGTAGGGTCGCTAAATCCATCTGCAACCCCGAGCCCCAGTGAGGAGAGCCCCTGCCCAACCTGGGGAGGATTTTTACCCCCTCTGTGACATCGTGGTTGGAGCGAGGGGCTAGCGGTTTGGGAGAGGCCCTGGAGAGTGCTGAGGACGCCGCGGAACGCCGCAAAATTGATAGCAGCGGCGGCGGCGACGCTGTGAAACCACCCTGGGCGCTTCGGAACTGCCTGGAGCCCTGCGAGGTTATGGCGGCAGTGAGGGCGCCGTAAAACAGCTGAGGGCGCCGAAAAACAGCTGAGGGCGCCGAGAAGGCAATGGCAGTGATGGCGGCGGCAGCAGCAGCGGTAACGGCGGTAGCAGCGATGGTGGGAGCAGCTTGGTGTGGCCGCAGAGAGTCATCTGGCTGCGGTCTTTATTTTCCATCAAAGAAGAGGGGCTGGAGGGGGCTGGTGGCTCCGGCGGTAGTGCGAACGGCCGTGCGGCGATGCCCCCCCCTCCTCCCCTCCCCCCCACTCAAACCAACAGAGCCAAGGTGGGGCTGGCGGTGGAGGCCAGTTGGCGGCGCTGGTTGCCCCCCCCCCAGATGCATTATGTTATGGTGCTGGGGTGGGGGGGGTGACACTGGCGCCGGTGATGGCGTCTGCCGCAGAATGCTGCAATGGTAGTCTGCTGAGAGTGAAGAGGAGAAGCTGAAGTGAGGAGGCCTGGACTTATAGATCGGCAGAGGAAGAGATGTTACCCTCCTCTGGGGATATTGTTTCCCCCCCCCCCCCCCCCTTCCCCCCCCCCCCTTTTTATGGGGGGAGGGGCTTACGAACTGCTGCACTCTGGACACTTTGGACCCCCCCCCCCCACCATGTTCCACTCATGCCCTCGCTGGCAGGAGAGACTGAGCACCATTTGAAAGAACTGAGGGACTTTTTGTATCCCAACGGGGAGGATAGAACACTGTCCCCGTTAACCTCTTGTAACGGGACTGGCCGTCGTGAGAGGATGGTTGGCTATTAGCCTCTGTTGGAGAAAAAGAACATTGGACCTTCTCCCTGTCGTGAGAGGACAGTGGAGTCCAGCTCTACAAATGGATATTTTGTGATCCTTATGCTCAGTTATCCCTTTGGACTATGATAGACCCCCGGACTGGCCTTTCTTTCCCATCTTTGGTTTGGTTGATGCTCCAAAAAGCCGACCTTCTTGCGCTGCGAGACTCCCCCCTCTCGTAGGCCTGGCCCTCCACATTATCGAGGGCCTATCTTGATGACGGGCTTTGGAACCCCGAGAGATGGCATGTAGCGAAGAGGGGGTTGAGGGGGTTTTTAGTTAAATTTTTAAAGAAAATTTTAAGGGGACCCGGGAGGGAGGGAGGGGGTTGTAAAAGCGGACCTGGGGGGGTCCAGATAGCGACTGAGCGGGATGATGGGTCGATTAGGTGCAGCAGGAGGGTCGCGAAAGGAAATTTAACCGGGGAGCAGGGGGATGACAGGAAGGGCTGCGAAATTGAAATAATGAGTGGGAGGGGCAGGTATGACGGACGCAGGGGGTCATATCAAGTGTCGGGGGTGCGCATACGCTGTTTACGAGCGATTGCGCACTCCGGCCCCCAATGCGTGACTCGTGTCCTGGGTTGTGTAGAGTCTCAGGCCCAAGGTCCGCGGCTGATGTTGTATAATGCCAGGTCGGTGGTTAATAAAGCCCCCCTCATTTGTGATCTTATTTTGGAGGGGGGTGCGGACCTGGCAGGTATTACGGAGACCTGGTTGGGCCAGGAGGGGGGGGTCCCCCTCGTTGAGATGTGCCCGCCAGGTTTCCGTGCATTTCATCAGCCAAGGGCCCAGGGGAGGGGTGGGGGAGTGGCGGTGATTATTAGGGAAAGTCTTTGTCCGAGGGAGACCACTGTTCCTCAGATAGCCGGATGTGAGTCCCTTTGTGTGAAGTGGGGCCGTGGGGTGCAGATGGGTTTGCTGACTACGTACCTGGCTCCCTGCCATGTGGCAGCGACCCTGCCCGAGCTACTCGACGTCATTGCCGGGGTGGCGGTTGATACCCCCAGACTTATTGTCATGGGGGATTTCAACCTTCCATCCGCGGGTGAGGCGTCAGAGGCGGCTCGGGAGTTCATGGCTTCCATGACGGCCATGGACCTGACCCAGGTAGTTCAAGGCCCAACTCACATAGGGGGACACACTCTGGATCTGATTTTTGTCTCTGGTCAGTGGTTGAATGATCTTGGTAGAGGGGACCTAGATATTAAACCCTTGTCATGGACAGATCATTCGCTCCTCCAACTAGACTTTCCTACCGCCTTCCCCCGCCGCAGGGAGACGGAACCAACTAGATGGTTCCGTCCCAGGCGCCTGATGGACCCTGAAAGGTTCCTGATGGAGCTTGGGCCGTTTCCTGAGACTCTAACACACGACTCGACTGAAGAGCTGGTGGCCGCCTGGGAAAGGGCGGCCGCTGGAGCTTTGGACCGCATTGTGCCTTTGTGGCCTCTGACCCGATGGCGATCTCAATTGGCTCCTTGGTTCTCTGAGGAGCTGAGAGAGATGAAGCGTCGGAAGAGACGCCTAGAGAGCATCTGGAGGACTAGTCAATCCGATTCCGACCGGACACAGGTGAGGTCTTATATCAAGACCTACCTAGTGGTGATAAAAGCGGCAAAATCTAACCATTTTTTCGCTCTTATTGCATCTGCAGAGAACCGCCCAGCTGCCTTGTTTAGGGTGACCCACTCCCTTCTCCGGGGGGGAGTGCGGGAAGATCCCTTGCAGGGTCGTGCTGAGGATTTTGTGCAATTCCTGCACGATAAAGTCGCTCGGATTCGGGATGGCTTGGACTCCGACTGGATGAGTCCACGGGAGGAGACGAGGGCAGGTCTTGAGAATGTTATCTGGGAGGAGTTTGATCCTATGACTCCCGAGGATGTGGACAGGATTCTGGGTAGGACTAGTGCCGCCACGTGTTTATTGGACCCGTGTCCCTCCTGGTTGGTACTGGCCTCCCGGGAAGTTACACGAGGCTGGCTCCAGGGGATTATAAGTGCTTCTTTGAGTGAGGGTGCCTTTCCTGCCACCTTGAAAGAGGCGGTAGTGAGGCCCCTCCTCAAGAAGCCTTCCCTGGACCCAGCTGAATTAGCCAACTATCGTCCAGTCTCCAACCTTCGTTTTGTGGTGAAGGTTGTTGAGAGCGTGGTGGCACGACAACTTCCCCGGCACCTGGATGAAGCTATCTATCTAGACCCGTACCAGTCGGGCTTCAGGCAGGGGTACAGCACAGAAACGGCATTGGTCGCGTTGGTGGATGATCTCTGGAGGGCTCGGGACAGGGGTTGCTCCTCTGTCCTAGTCCTATTAGACCTCTCAGCGGCTTTTGATACCATCAACCATGGTATCATGCTGCAGCGGTTGAGGGGGTTAGGAATAGGGGACACCGTTCTGCGGTGGTTCTCCTCCTTCCTCTCCGACCGCTCGCAGTTTGTGTTGGCAGGGGGACAGAGGTCGACCTCGAGGCATCTCTCATGGAGAGTGCCGCAAGGGTCTGTCCTCTCGCCCCTCCTGTTCAACATTTATGTGAAGCCGCTGGGGGAGATCATCCGTGGTTTTGGGGTGAAGTGTCATCTGTATGCTGATGATACTCAGCTGTACATCTCCACCCTGGACCACCCCAACGATGCCCTTGATGTGATGTCCCGCTGCCTGGAGGCCGTGCGGGCCTGGATGGGGAGGAACAGGCTCAGACTCAACCCCTCCAAGACCGAGTGGCTGTGGCTTCCGGCGCCTCGATATAGTCAGCTGGTGCCATCGCTGACTATTGGGGGCGAGTCACTGGCCCCCACAGAGAGGGTTCGCAACTTGGGTGTCCTCCTGGACGCACGGCTGTCTTTAGAAGAGCACATGACGGCCGTGGCCAGGGGGGCCTTTTATCAGGTTCGCCTGATTCGCCAGTTGCAGCCCTTTCTGGATCGGGACGCCCTGCGCACGGTCACTCACGCTCTTGTCACCTCCCGGTTGGACTATTGTAATGCTCTCTACATGGGGCTCCCCTTGAAGAGCACTCGGAGGCTCCAACTGGTCCAGAATGCGGCCGCGTGGGTGGTTATGGGTGCAACTCGTTGCGCCCACGTGACACCCCTCCTGCGCGAGCTGCACTGGCTCCCAGTGGTCTTCCGAGTGCGATTCAAGGTGTTGGTTACCACCTTTAAAGCGCTCCATGGCATAGGACCCGGGTACCTTCGAGACCGTCTTCTGCCACCAATAGCCTCCCACGGATCAGTCCGCTCCCACAGAGAGGGTCTCCTCAGGGTGCCATCGGCCAAGTTACGTCGGCTGGCGACACCCAGGGGGAGGGCCTTCTCTGTGGGAGCCCCAGCCCTGTGGAATGAACTGCCCCCGGAAATACGTAAGATCTCCGACCTCCGGGTGTTTCGCTGCGCTCTGAAGACCCTGTTGTTCCGCCAGGCCGGACTATTAACATAACGTTTTAAATTGGGGTATTTTAAATTTCTGGGATTTTAATTGGAGCCTAATTATTTAATGATTTTAAATTTTAATTGTTGTTTTGTTTCTGTGTTTTTAAATAGGCTGTACACCGCCCTGAGTCCTTCGGGAGAAGGGCGGTATAGAAATAAAATTATTATTATTATTATTATTATTATTATTATTATTATTATTATTATTATTATTATTATTATTATTATTAAGGGTGTAAACAGTAAACTATTAAGAGTAAAATAAGTGTAACAGTAACATATTAATATTTAGAAAGCAATGGATGGAAACTCGAGATCCAACCTAGAAATAAAGAGAAATTTTCTGATAGCGAGGAAGATTAATCAGGGGAAGAGCTTCCCGCCAGAAGTTGTGACTGCTCCAACACTGGAGTTTTCCAGAAGAGATTGGACAGCCATTTATCTGAAATGGTAGAGGGTTTCCTGCCTGAACAGGGGGTTGGACTAGAAGACCTCCAAGGTCCCTTCCAGACTCTGTTATTTTGTTGCTCTGTTGTTCTGAAAGTGGGTGAGGGATGGGTAGAAAACACCCAATGAAAACAGTGTATTTTCTGGGTAGTGTTTTTATTTATATTGACCACCAGGGGGCAGTATTTGTCCTATTCTGTGCCCCCCCCCCCCCCCGCCCAATCTTTCAGGTAACAGGACAGGAGGGTTTATTTCTCTGTGTCAGTTTGCACAGTCCCCATAAATTGCTTTGTTCCTAAGCTACAATCCTGTTGCCTCCAAAGAAGAACCCAAACGAGATGCATCTTCCGGTTGTGAGTGCTCGGGAGGAAAGTCCTTTGCAAGCATTCACGATCTGCCCCCACCTGGCTTGGTTTTACTTCCCTTTTGCCTCTGTACTTGCAGGCCATGAAGAACCAGGGCCTGACAGAGATTGTAGACGAGGAGGCCATGTCTCAGATCCGGAAGGGCCACGAGACCATGTGTGTGGTGCTGACCAGTCGCCATAAGAATTTGGACACAGTGAGAGCTGTGTGGAGCACGGGGGACATCAAGGTAAGCTTGGAGGATGGGTTTGAGGCTGGGTGGTTGGTTTTGGCTTTTCTGACCTGGGTCCCAAGCTCTGACCTTCGTACAGGACTCCAGCATCCTATCCCTAGATGGGTTAATTTCCCCATTATTATTTATTGATTTAGTGTATGGCATACACTGTCAGGGAAATCTACACATGCTAGACACACTCCTGATAGCCTAAATGGCTGGTTCGTTCTGTTCACTGCTTATGCACCTTTCCTTGGCGCATGGCGGGGAATGAACTAGCTTTACACCAGCTGACTATGATAGTGGCACTCAGCTTGCTGGCCCTTCTGGGCTCCTCCGCCAGTCTCGCCTCGCTTCGCCTGTGTCACGATGCCTTGCGTCTGGCCAAGTCCAACGCCGGCTTCCACTCTCCGCACACAGGAAGGCAGCTAGGTTTTTCCCACCAAAGTGATACCCATTTGTCTACTCGCAGTGTTGCATGCTTTCAAACTGCTGGCTGGGCAGGAGCTAGGGATCGAGCGACAGGAGCTCACTCCATCTCACAGAGTCAGGCTTATCTGAGTGCAGGTCATTTCTGGCTAGCAGTTCCAGCATCATTAAGCCTCCCCATTTCCCCATTGGGCTGGTAACATAACACCTGTTTTGATAATAATGGGATATAACTGACAAGTAGTTATTGTACTTGTCTATAATGTAGACAACCATCTACATTACGGTTAGTTGATCAAACAGAATCTTATTTCAGCACCGCAAAATCTAGTCCTAACTTGTATTCTTGCAAGAAACAACACAAATTCAGGATCCCTAAAATTTTGATCTCTTGTGTTTGTTATGATGCTCATCTGGAAAGGAAGGTGCCTCTCTATGGATGTGGTCTTCTCAGGGATCTGAGACCCCCGAGTTCCGCCTAAACCTAAGATCCTGGTGTGGGATCCCACCAACTTCCCACCAAAGTGATGCCTTTGGTAGGAAGCAGATACCTTCCTGCTCACACTGAGTGCCTCAGTTCTTCTGTTGCCACAGTAGAGAGCTACCTTCATAGGAGCATTTTCACCTGTTTCTTCTGTAATCACTAAAGAATTTAGGATTTCATTTCAGTTTCTTCTCTGACTATAATTTTTTGGTTACCATTTCTGGTTTTGTCGGGCCTTTTCACCAAAGATGTATGTCCTAGTTTTGCTTTTGACCTGTTGTGCCAGGATTGGAACAAAGGTACTTGGCATATTGCCACATGGGGAGATTGGTCCCAGAAAAACTCAACTTGCATATATTCTGGAACTTCCTGACCCCCAGATGACCTGGGCACAGGTGATCACTGATGCTAAGCAAGTTGACATTCAGCCTCTTGCCATCTGGAGTTTGGAAATCTTTTGATCTTCTGATCAATATTGTCTTTGTCTGCTGGTCCATATGAATTTGGAAAAGGGCTTGTGGGAGTGACTCAGCTTGGCCTTCCTGCCTCAGTCCCAGGATTTGCCCCCGGGTGAGTCCAGTCTGCCAAAAAGAGCCGAATATTGTCATGCAAGTGACTAACTTTCCTTTCCAACAGAGGAGAACCTTTTAGCTCAGGGCTGAACTGTGGGGTCCTTGGTGTTTTCTGAGCTTGGTTGTTTTCTTGCAGATGTCAGATAACAGCACCAGTGCTTGAAGAGAGGGGGGTTTGTTCTCATTTTATATACAAAATACTCTCATTTATTTAAGATGAGAGCAAATCCCATTCTCTCCCGGTGCTGATGTTGCCTAGTTTGATAATGAAATGTTTCCAAGAAAAGAGCCAAGCTCAGAGAGCAGCTTCACCGTCTATTTGACCGAATAGATGCTGTCAATCTCTAGAAGTAAATCCATTAGAGGGTGGGGGATGCTGGGACTTGTGTTTCAACCTCTGGAGTCCCACTCCCCTCGGTTCCCACCTGCCACCAAGCTACTGCGGTTCCTTGCCATAATCCTATTCTGCCACTGTGGTTTCTCCTCAGACTTCAGTAGACTCCGCTGTGGCCATCAATGACCTCTCGGTGGTGGTTGACCTTCTCAACATTGTGAACCAAAAGGCGTAAGTCTCAGTCTGCGTTTCTTCTGCAGGGAGAGCGTTGGTTGGTTGGGCTGCCTGGCACCAAGTTCTTTTCATTCACTGCCAGCAAATCCTGGAGGTTCCAGAGAACGAGCTGGTGTAGTGAGACGTGCGATTGCTCCCTTGGCATGTAACCTGCTGTGGATCCCACAGGCTCTCCTGGGGATCCAAATATTCTTCTTTATCCTGTCTGGAGGGGCACCAGGTCCCCTGGGTGGGTCAGGGCAGAGAAGGCTATTCTGGGGCTGACCTGGAAGCCGCTGCAGCCTTTCATTGTTCTCTGGTGGGAACAGTCTGCAGCCCACCTCACCTTCTGCTGACTTTGGCTGCTTCAGTCAAGACTTTGCCTCCGTCTCTGCCTGAGGACTCAAGAAGTGAAGGCTGCCATAGTCCAGGATAACCTCTCTTCTTTTTCCAGATCGCTTTGGAAACTGGATCTGTGCACGGTGGTCTTGCCACAAATAGAAAAGCTGCTGCAAAGCAAATATGAAAGGTAACTTTCTTCGGGCCACAAGCTTTGTAAAAGCTCCTTGTTCTGCGTTATGGTTGCTAAAGTAGCAGTGCTGCCTCAGGTCAAGCCAGGACCCCGGGGATGTGCCTTAACCAGACTAAGGTGCCTGAGGCAACGGTGGGAAGGCAGGCTGGCTGCTCGGGGGGCCAAGGTGAGAGGCAGCACTGAGCACAGTGAAGCTTTACATCAGGGGTGTCAAATTTGATTTCATTGAGGGCCGCATCAGGGTTGTGTGTGTGACATTAGGGGCTGGGGGGACATGGCCAGCTCTACATCACTCGTGTCAGGGCCGCCTGTGGCTGACCAAGTGCTCTGCCAGCGAAAATGGAGCTCAGGAGGCTGCGAAGGCTTCCTGCAACCCTCTGCCAGTGGAAGTGGAGCGCAGCCCTCCCAAGCTCTGTTTTTGCTGGCAGAGGCACCACAGGCGGTTCTTTGCTGTTTCCAGGCCAGCCTGTGGGCCAGATCTAAGCACCCCAGGGGCCTTGAGTTTGACACCCTGGTTTACATCATCCACATAAATAAAATGTGGAGGCTTTATTTCACAGTGGAAGGGCCGGTCCCTCTCCTTGCAAAAGGAGCCAGGCTGCCTATGCCTCTAATTGCCCCTTTTCTGCCACACAGCTTTGCCTTTGCAAATTTCTGCCCTTCAGTTGCTCTCCGTTTCCTCCGGGGAGGTCTTTGCTGCCCACCAGTGTGGCTACTTCTGCCTCTTGCCTAGTGCCAGATAATTCCCAGGGACGTTGAATTAGCTTTGTTTGGGTTTATTAGTTGGAAACTGCAAAGGAGGCCACAGATGCCTTAATGCCAGCTGTCATGGAAGGCCCTGATTGCTTACCAGTTCCTCTGAGGAGTGTTTAACTGGCCTTATTTTTTTTTTCCTGTAAGCCTTTGATGAGAGATTTTGTTAAAAGCTTTCTGAAAATCTGCAGTTTTTGCAGCTACTCAGCCAGAGCAAGGAGCCCTTTTTCCAGATTGATGCTGGATGCAAATGTGCAGGTTACTTCATAACTACCAAGTTTTGACTGGGAGACTGTAAGATCTTAGACCAAACTAAATCCAAAAACATGGGAAGTGCGGCATTCAGTCATCAGTACAGAGACAAACCAGATTTACCCTCCTTCAAAAGACACAATTAAAAATGCTAAGAAGGAAACAAAATAACCATAGCACTTAGACTTATAGACCGTTTCACAGTGCTTTACAGCCCTCTCTAAGCAGTTGACACAGTCAGACTATTGTCTCCAACAATCTGGGTCCTCAGTGTACCCACCTCAGGACAGAAGGCTAAGTCAACATTGAGCCGGTCAGGATCGAACTGCTGGCAGTGAGCTGAATTAGCCTGCAATATTGCATTCTAATTGTCATACCACCACAGTTCAGTGAGCACCAAAAAGACCAGAGAACACATCTTCATATAGGCAGGGATTTATACTAATCTACTAAGGAGAAAACCACACACACTCCAATACTGGCAGGGCAAGCTATTTTATATAATCAGAGAGCAAATTCCACACTCACTCACACTGATGATGTTACGTAGTTGGGTAGTGAAACATCTGCATACAGACAGCTCAGGGAGCATCAAGGACTCCACAGTTATCACTATTTGTTAAAAACTCTTTCAGGAAAGCTCCATCTTGTTTGTTCTCTTTGTGTCATAAGAGCTTTGTGTCAAAAGCTCCGGGTCCTGCCCTTGACAGCAGAGGGTCTCCTGCAGTCAAGATGCTGAGTCACTGGAGAACTCTTGAGGGAAGAACTGGGCAATACTCTGGAGTCGCTGAAAGGGCTTCCTTTGAAACTTTCTTCTCCTCAATCCTTTTTCTCTTGTGCCAGTTACGTTCAGACAGGCTGTGCATCCCTGAAGCTAATTCTGCAAAGGTTTCTGCCCCTGATTACGGACATCCTTGCCGCACCCCCATCAGTGGGAGTGGACATCTCCCGAGAAGAGAGGTAACATACCTTCACTTCTCTTCTATCAGGCTTGGGATGCTGTGAACCTTCAGTAATCCTGCCCCTCTCATAACATAGCGGATTCCAGAGATTTAGGCTAGAAATGCACCGGCATGTTCCACTTTACCTAATGGGGTCCAAAGATGTTCTACCAAGGTTGATTAGAGGCTTCTGATGGGGACAAGTTCTTATTTGCTCCCTGCCCACCCCCACCCAAATCAAGATCCTTTCAGAGCTTCTTTCCCAAGACATATCTAAAGAGAGGATGAGGTGAGTTTCTAAAGCCCTGGATTGTTTTGCCCCTTGAGAATCTAATTTATCTCCCAGGTTCAAAGCCAGAAATGTTTTTAGTTTCTTCCTCGCATTCCTGGTGTGAAGTGGCAATGGAGTGCCTTGTTCTCTCAACTCATAAGAGGAATTTCCAGACAGTTGGATGTGAAGTGCTATCACGTTTGACCGGCAGTTCCAAATGGCTTAATTGCTCACATGTTCTTTCGCCTTTGGTGAATCCTTGCTCCCTCATTACCTGTTCAAGCACTATTTAGGGAGCAGAGCACCCTAAAGGCTGCCTTCCTGTGGGCAGGGCCTCCTCTGGGCCTTTAGCCTTCTGTTTGCCAGTTGACCTGAGTGTTCAGCCAGAGCAGGGCCTTTGGGGTAAGGGGGGATTGTCTTCAGGACCTGTAGGTTCAACTGACATTGCTGGCCCTGGATATACAGACACATACACTTTTCCTGATTTAATGATGTAAATACCATTGCTTTGCTAATTCTTTGCTCTGAGAGTGCGTTATAAAAATAAGTAAAATAATATTTGAGCCTTCCAGAGTGGTACAGCCCCTTTTGCCAGCTGCTTTTCTTCTTGACCCAGGCTCCAGAAGTGCCACATGTGCTACAAACAACTGAAAACCATCAGCGCTTTCATCAAGAACCGGTCTGGCCTCAGTGGTCGCCACGGCAGTGCCTTCCGGGAGCTGCACCTCCTGATGGCCGTCCTGGAGTGACCGCTGTGGCCAGGCTGCCTTTGCCTGCTGCTTTGCCCTCCAGCTCTGGATTGTCTTCTCGCGGCCTTCCAGGAGGCAACTCTTCTGCACTGCACCCAGTCCAGTGCCTTACAGAACACCTTTCAAAGCAGACTTTCCTGCTGTGGCACCACTTCCTGCACCTGTGCAGCTGCCTTCGGAGGGATTGCTGAGGACAGACGGCCCGATCTCCTTCTGGCCGAAAGGCTTCCATTGCCTCGCATCCTTTTCCTGCTTGCCAACAATGGTGGTAAACTCCTGACTCGTGTCCAGCTCTCCAGCCATCTTGAATTGTGGGGGACCGGCCTAGGGTCGCTGGTATCCATGACATGGATACTTTCCAGGACCTTTCCTCTTGCCTTTCGGCCTGCAGAACCTGAGCCAGGTTTCTCTGGTAACAGACGGAGCCATCGCTGGCTTTTTCTCCCCGGTGGAAAGTGTCTCGGTACTGGGAACAGAATGGACTTTCCCTGCATTGCTGGAGCCAGCTGGTCATACAACTGTAACTTATGACAAACTTTATTAAATGTTTGTAACCGGAACTTTGTGTGTCTACATTCTGCAATTCAGAATAAATCATCTTCCTTTATAATGGATGCTGGTCTTACTGAAAACGGATGGTTTAGCTCACGGCCAAATAGCAGTGAAGTTTTTAGCTGCAAAGCTTGAAAGCCCTCCATGGAAAAGCTTCAAATGTTGATCTATATTTATTTTTGTTCTTTTGCTGGAGGAAAAGTAAACATTTTAGAGGAAATTTAAATGGGACTCATTTATATGAATCCTATTTAAATTTCCTCTAAAATGTTTACTTTTTCTCCAGCAAAAATACAAAAATATAGATCAACATTTGAAGGCCTGTGAAAGTGTCTCTGATGAGTATATATACACCCACACCCACCCACACACACATACAATCATATGAGAGAAATGAAGCGTCGGAGAAGACGCCTGGAGGGCGGTTGGAGATCCGATCTGAAGCTGACCGAACACAGTTAAGAACCCATATTGGGTCTTATCTTGTGGCAATGGAAGCGGCAAAACATCAATATGACCCGCTCTCTTCTCAATCATGGAGCGAGGGAGGACCCCTTGCAGGGCTTTTGTACAGTTTCTGCAAGATAAAATCGCTCAGATTCGGACTGGGCTGGACTCTGACTGGGCAGAGTCTGGCGAGGTGACGGGCCTGTCCTGATGGTAGCATCTGGGTTGGGTTTGAGCCTGTTTCAGTGGAGGAAGTGGACCGGATCATGGGTCGGCTGGGTGCCTCCACGTGTTTATTGGACCCTTGTCCCTCCTGGCTTGTTTCTGCAGCCAGAGAAGTGACTGGAGGCTGGATTCAAGCGGTTGTCAACGCTTCTCTGAGGGAGGGGGCCTTCCCCGCCACACTTAAAGAGGCGGCGGTTCGTTCCCTCCTCAAGAAGCCCACTCCCTTAACAATCCAGACTCCCTTAACAATTATCATCCAGTCTCCAACCTTCGCTTTATAGCGAAGGTTGTTGAGTCCGTGGTGGCACAGCAGTTCCTGGAGGAAACTGACTTCCTAGACCCGTACCAATCGGGTTTCAGGTTCGGTTACAGCACGGAAACGGCATTGGTCACCCTAGTGAATGATCTCTGGTGGGCCAGGGACGGGGGTTGCTCCTCCATCCTGGTCCTTCTTGACCTCTCAGCGGCTTTTGATACCATCAACCATGGTATCCTACTGCAGCGACTCGGGTTGGGGGTAGGAGGCACCGTTTTACGGTGGTTCTCCTCCTACTTCTCAGGCCGCTCGCAGTTTGTGTGGGCGGGAGGAGAGAGATCCACCCCGGGGTGCCTCAGGGGTCGGTTCTCTCCCCCCTGCTCTTTAACATCTATATGAAGCTGGGTGAGATTATTCGTGGTTTCGGGGTGAGGTACCATCAATATGCTGATGATACTCAGCTTTATATTTCCACCCCAGATCACCCTGGGGATGCCCTTTCCGTGATGTCCCGCTGCCTGGAAGCGGTGTGGGCCTGGATGGGAAGAAACAGACTCAGACTCAACCCATCCAAGACTGAGTGGCTGTGGATACTGGCATCTCGTGATCTAGTGGCCCCGTCACTTGTGATGGGAGGGGAGGTTCTTACTCCCTCAGAAAGGGTCCGCAATCGGGGGGTCATCCTGGACTCACGGCTATCTTTAGAAGATCATTTGACAGCCGTGACCAGGGGGACCTTCGCACAGGTACACCTGGTGCGCCAGTTGCGTCCTTTCCTAGATCGGGATGCCCTTGCCACGGTCACTCATGCCCTTGTTATGTTTCGGTTGGACTACTGTAACGCCCTCTACATGGGGCTGCCCTTGGGATGCACCCGAAGGCTACAGTTAGTCCAGAAGGACTAACTGCGCGGGTTGTTACGGGGGCTTCTCGATACTCCCGTGTGACACCTCTCCTGTGCGAGCTGCACTGGCTACCGGTGGTTCTTCAGGTTCGTTTCAAGGTGCTGATGCTCACCTATAAAGCCCTACATTGCTTAGGCCCGGGGTATCTGCAGGATCATCTCCTGCCATCCTCCCATCGTCCGGTGCGCTCTGAGCGGGCCTCCTCAGGGTGCCATCAACCAGACAATGTCGGCTGGCAGCCCCCAGGGGGAGAGCGTTCTCTGTGGGAGCACCGACCCTCTGGAATGGGCTACCCACCGGCCTCAGGACAGCCCCAGACCTCCTCTCCTTCCGCCGCGAATTGGAGACGTGGCTCTTTCACCAAATGGGCTGAATCCATTGGGGTGATTTTTAATAATTTTAATTAAATTTTTAATTAATTTTAACTAATTTTAAATTGATTTGTTGTTTATGTAATTTTTCTTCCTTCTTGTAAGCCGCCCTGAGTCCTTCAGGAGAAGGGCGGCATATAAATTGCGTAAATAAATAAAATAAATATATAACACACACAGACGCACAAGCTATCTCAACCTGCATTTGTAGATTTAATATTTATTTGTAAATATATTTATATTTTAAAAATCATGCTGAGGACCACTTTCTGTCTTTTAAGAGGAAAGGAGGTGGCTACCAATTCGAACCATCTCTAAAGAAATGTTGGAAAGTTTTCCTTTGCTTTGTTCCTCCGGACTGCTTCATCGCTGAGGATCAGTTTGTTTTGCTGAATGTCTCAACATGCCTCACCCTGACCAAAGCAGCAGCTAAAACTACAAGGATTCCACCCTGTCTTATCACGTGTCCCATAAATGGCGAGAGGGTTTTGAGATACCAGTTTAGTCAAGAGTAATACGATTATCATCTTTAGCCATCAGCTATTTATATATCGCAACCAAAGTAATCCCCAGATGGGTGAGGGCCTAAATTAAATTCATTGTTTTGTTCTGATTCTTTTCTTCCAGTCTGTATCTTTGAAGAGATTGCTTCATGCTCTTAAGCTATTCATTGATGTAACCTTACTAGACATTCTTACTAAGAGACATTCTTACTAAGAAAATGTAGAATGTAAGAAATGAAGGCAAATCCATTAATTTGTATTCTCAAATTTAACAAATAGTTTGTGTTTAATCTAATTTGCCACCTATCTCGTTGTGGGGTTAATCTAGGTGGTTTACAACAATAAAAAGGAAGCAGTGAAAGAAGTATAAACAGAAGTAAAATAATAGAATAACATAAACAATGAAAAAGAACCCAACACGATTACATCAATTTGATAACCAAAAAGATGGAAGGGTGGGGTAGAGAGCAAATTTGAGGGGGGGAGATGGAATTCGCCATCAGCCCAGCAACCTGTCCAACACTTAACTCTATGAAGGATTTTTTAAAAGTCCGAATGTTGCAGAGCCTTTGCGATTGTAAGGGCGAACAACTGCTGTGGTGCTGCAAGAATAGTAGTTTTGGGCATTGTTCGGAAACGCTAGGGGGCACTGATGGTGTTAACTTTGAACGCTCGTAACCTGGGGATTGCCCATATCTTTAGGCCCTGCCAAGAGTTAATAGTGTCTGAGATGAAAGGATAACTCGGAACTCCTTCAGCGCTGCCTGACTGTATTTCAATCATAGTTTTCATATTGTCCTTCGGTACCATGTAAGATTGAGATGACAGACATAGAATAATAAAATAAAATATTAGCAATAAGTTTCTGGACTTCCAAGAATTCCGACTGGGTGCAACATTTTTATTCAAATAAAAATGAAAGGGAAAGGGTACATAAAAGCAAAGTCTGTGTTCACCGCCTCTGCTCTCTTTTAAAAGAAATGTGTTAAAAATCTGTTGATCAGGAAGTGACCCTTCCCTGAAGTCTGTCTGGTTCCAAGCACCCGGCTCCACTGCCAGCAGTGGATGGGGATGACCGATCCAAACCCTGTGCTGTAGTCCCAGTCCAGGGTGCACGTTTAGAAAAGCCGGCATGGTTTCCCAAAGTCCCCGTTGAAAACAGCTTTTCCTGACATCGGCCAGTTTTCAGAGAGGAATTGGCCTCGGTTTCCCTAAAACAAACAGAGACAGAAATGAATTCTGGCAGAGAATCCCACTGAACAGAGGCCTCCAGGAACTGCCGCTTCCCAACACACCAACCATTTTGCTGCAGGCACCCAGGCTAGCCAGCTCCTGCATGCGGCACCCAAAACTTTCCCTGTGCAGAACCTCCGCGGAAGGAAGAGTCAATCTAAATGATGCAGGCGTTCCGTTTAGACTTGGGAGTTTCACGCAGGCTTCATTCATTATTCCTAGACTATACCCATTAAGGTCAATGGGTCAAGTAGTTCTATTTGTTTTGTCTCCTCTGAGCAAAATCAAATCTGCACTTTATTTCTTATTACTCTACGTCCCAAAACCTACTAGAATTAAGGTCAGTTTGGCTCATTCAGTACAAATCATTCCTTCAATATCACATCTGTGATTGCTGCACAGGAAGCATTTCAGACAATGAAGCTGTTTTTCCATCTGCAGCTGAGAGCCTCCAAGAGGCAAGAGGGGCTGTGAGCGGGGTGGGGGGGGAGCAGGAGGTGCTTCCACAACCCAGCAGAGGAGAAACCTGAAGAAAGCCACTTAGTGAGCCAGGTGCAAAAGCATTTCAGCACAAGGGAATAAAGCAGGACAAATTTGCCCATTTTTTACTTTTGTAAAAAGCAAAAATGCATTTGTTTGTATCTATCTAGTCTATTTTAACACGCAAAGGACATCGGTTTCCAGACTAAGTTTATTTTTGCTGTACTTGTCTTCTGTAGCGTTTGTCCTTGCAGGTAAACCAGAAGAGGGACTGCAGAATTAAATCAGACTGAGAGGCAAGAAGCCAGGCATCGCAAAGTGGGCAAGGGAACATGACCAGGAGGGGGCTCACAAGAGAACACTGCAAAAATTCTGCTCTCCCCCCCCTCCACTGCCCCACCAGGATGCCAGGGGAGAATTTTTGGAATTTCTGCCCTTTGCAGTCCCAACCCCATCTGGCCCATTTCTGAAGTCTGTCTTCTGCCAACTTCAGCTACACGTAACACCTGTTGGTCCTGCACCATTCTGATTTTGGATCGTAAGCAGGCTGGCAGACAGAAGTCCAGGCTGCATTACACAATTCCTTCCAATATTCAGTTGGGTTACAAAGAATAAAATGCAACATTAAAGGGGAAAGTGAATTTTTTGGATTTCATGCTTATCCCCGGCTCAGTCTGATGTTAATTCTAGAGACAAGGAACAACTGACACCCAAAGGCAGCATCGATCCTGCTTTCCTTCTCATTTTGGCCACAGCAGAACTTAACGTCTTCTTAATCAGAGTAAGATCTTGTGATCCGGGCGTGTATTTAACTCACCTGGAGGCAAACAGAGCTTCTCTTAATTCCAGGCTGAAATCAAATGGAATAACTGAAGTTTGTCTCATAAAGCAGTAAATGGATACAAAAGCTGCTTTGATTAATGGAACACCAAGATATTGTGGATGATTGTTAAGCTTCCCTGAAGTATCTGGCTAACAACATAAGCAGATAAACATTTGACCAGGTGTTTCTAGTGAAGTTTGTGAAGAAGATGCACACATGACCACATGGCAATGAACGTGACCACAGGAGAGGCTTCTATATTGTCTGCTGTTCCATCACACTTGTCAGGCGCTTTGCTACACAACACGGCTATGACCATCAACTCCTTTTAAGCATCCTCAAAATGTTCCCCAAACCCAGCTCCTCTTTGGCCGAATCGGGCACACTGCTGCTTTTCCCCTTCTTGGGACAGATGGGAGGCTCCATCCCCTTCCAAAATTTCTCAGCCCAATGGTACCTTCAGGCATAAGCACCTCGTCTCTTCCCCTCTTCTGCCTTGAATGTCTCACATCTTCCAGGCTTGAACGACTCTGACAAGGGGGGGGAGGGCTACAACCTCTGCCCTCAAAAAGCCTCGGGCTGTTCTGCCAAGGGGCTGCTGGGAAAGATGCTGAGAGGGCAGCTCCCCCCCCCCATCCTCAGCACAGTTGGGCAGTGTTGGGTAATTTGCAGCCATGTGTTCCCAACTAGGCATACAAACAAACAAGGATACAAACAAGAACAAAAAAAAATCCCTGTGGCAAGAAAGGATGCCCACCTGGTTTGGGGATTCTTTGGTGGCATCAGGAGGACCCTACTGGGCACTCCTGCCAGATGCCCAGAAGGCTTCAGAGAAACAGACCAAGCTCCTCCCCTGACTGTTGGAGAAGGATGGAACCGGTGATTCCTTCTTTGAAGGAAGCCAAGCAGTTCTGCAACCAAAAGGGCTCTTACCTGCACTCGGGGGCTTTGCCCGAAGTGAGCTCGATCGCCCCGTTCGAGGAGAAGGCTGGGTTCGGATGCAGGGCTGAAGGGCGGCGGAGGGCTCCACCTGGAGACAAGCAGCCACAGGAAAACAGAACTGTGGCTGTTACCAGGAAGGTTCCTTCAGATGATGTGACAGGGGCTCCGTCTGCCAAATCAGTCGTGCAACCAAGATCTCCCCCCCCGACAGCCCCCCCCCCTCCTTTCAACACCAGATTCAGATCCCACTTGGTGAAAGATGCCATCCCTCCCTCAGTGGTGAGTCATGGCTGGAACTGAGAGTGGCCATAAAGGAAATGTCCATGCCGGGAAGCCACGGAAGCCACCGGCCTAGATGAGATGCTGAGCCAACTGGGCTCACCAGACACATCGAGGCAGAACAGGAACTCTCTGGACCAAGTGCTCCATGCTCCCTCCCTCAGGGCAGTTGCACCCAGGGACACGGGACAGACACCTAAGTGACTTATAGCCTGTCATGTCTTGGAGGGCAGCTTTGAGGAAACCTTGCAGGTTGGGAAAATGCAAGCGGGCAACCTTTTTCGGCCATTCTCCAGCTGGCCACACAGAGCCTTCCAGAACCCTGAGCACAGAGATGCTGGCTTTTTTTTTTCTTTTTGCTGTAGCTCTGGAGAGTTTTAAGAGGAGCATTTCATTCGCTCCCATTTCCAATCCTATTTTACAGTCTTTGTCCCCAAAAATGTGCCCCTAAAATTCAACCGCTTTGCTCCCGAGAGTTGGGGAGTTCAGGGCCAACAAGAGATTGCTGTGGCCCACCTGGCCAAGGGGCTGCTTGTGGCCTCCCCTGCTGTAAGGCCAGGTGAGGGTGCTCCCCATTCAGGGCTCACCCTCAGCTCAGAGGGGCCGTGGCAGGCTGTTCCCCCCTCTAGCCTAGAGCCATCAGATCCCCAACAGATGGGACTGGCGCTGTGGCCACCTTGACGAAGAAGAGGATCGAGCACAAAATTGCAGCTTTAGGCTTAGACCGTTTTGCATCACCCCAAATCCTCAAAACTGCCCTCTTCAGTCCTGGAGCTGGGGGGGGGGAGTCAGAAGCTTGCACTCCCACCTTGAACCGTGCTTCAAGTTTCCAAGGGTCCAATGGCAGAAGCAGGCAGGCTGCAGTTTCCCTGCTGTGTCTCCTGGGGGATGTGTGAGGCTGGGGCCCTCGTCCACCTGCCACCGGGACCCCAGGCGCACGGAGGCTGCCTTCGAAAACCTATCCTTGCCGCTACGCCTGGCACAATCAGGACATAGCGAGCCAGGCTCTTTAACAGCCTGAACCGAGGCAACCCCTCACCTTCCTGGAAACGGCTAAGGAGGCAAACCAGGATGGCTGGACCCCCTTTGGGGACCCAAGCACCCATCTGCGGGACCCCCATGCTTCAGGAACTCTGAGGGAAATGGAAGGTTAGGGTGAGGGACAGCATCTTTCAAGGAAGGGATCTGCTTCACCAGGGGCCCCCAGGAAGCCCAGCAGGCAGGAAATCACAGTACCTCTAAGTGCTCCTGGCTGGTCCAGGAGCCCGTATCTGCCCTCCGAGTGCCAGGACCCAGTTCCACAGAGCGAACCCTCTCAGCAAACTTGAGGGAGCAGAGCGTCTCGCTTGTATTCTTCTCAACCGGAGAAACCTGTGAAACGAGAGGAGGAAATGGCACTCACAGCCCAGAGCCCACAAGTGACCCGTACGGAAGAGAAGGCTGCGTCTGTGCCACCCCAGGTGCCCCCAAAGGGCCGGCCAGAGGAGCTCTTGTGGCCGGGCAGCTGGCCTTCCTGGGATCTTGGCTCCGTCTCTAGGTCAAGATTGGCTGCTCGAGGGACCCCACTTCAGGAGCTTCTCAGGAAGCAAACAGGTGAGACAAGAAAACCAAATCCCAACAGAATTTGAAAGGGAAGCCAGCAGGGAAGTTGCAGAAACTGCTGGGAACCTTCTCCCTCGTCCTCCCAAGCTCACTGCACTTGCCCTGGGCCCCTTCAGGAGCTTACAGGCACACCATTCGCACACCAGATAAAGCCACCTCACCTCCCCGCCCCACCCCCACTGTGCCTCCCTGTCACCCACATACCCTTGTCAAGCCTCACACCCTTCCCCTCTCCCACCGGGCAGCAGCCTCCCCCACCCCACCCCGAGTCCTCCTGCTGCTATGTCTCTCTGATCACTGCGCACCCCTCCCTCCCTCCCTCCCTCCCTCTGGCCTGGACCACACAATTTCCTGCCGGCTTCCTCACCAACTTGGTTGTTGGAAGGCAGCAGGAAGTTGCAAGGAAATGCTAACATAAAAACCTGCCATTTTCACTTGGCGACGGCAAGGAGGGATTGCTGTCACTAAGCGATGTGGTCACATGACACCACACATTAGGACCACATCGTTCAGCCACAGAAATCCCGATTCTCATCACCGTTTTAGCCCAAGGACTCCCAGCATCGCTCTGAAGACAAGATGGGTGACATCTAAATATAAATAAATAAACTGTAACTGCAGTGAGGCTACAATATGCACGAAGATGGACAATTGCAGAAATAGTCACAAGAGAGGAATGGAGTGGGAAGATGAAAGAATTTACTGAAATGGCCAAATCACTTGTCTGATTAGGGAAGGACACATTTACTCCTTCTCGCCCTTCTGGTTTGGCCGGTTTTCCCCACCCTCCAATCTCCACCAAAGGCGCTTCTGCACAGTGTCTGGACAGAGAGTGCCAATCTCATTTTTGGGATCCATTAGAGCCACCCCCAGCTTGGATTCTGTCAGTGTGGTAAACCACAACCAGCCCTGAATATTTTCCAAACATGTAGCCAGACACCATCAGCCCCACTTTGGCCAGCCAGAGTGGTGCACCGAGTAGCAACTGCAAGAACGTGCACTGAGGAGAATTTGGCGGAGCAACATTTTATTCTCCACTAATTATTGTGGGGGTCAGAGGGGTATCCCTTTTAAGGTTTCTTGAGATATTTTTGGAGACTTGGGAGTTACTTTGAGCTTTTACGTATTTATTATATTTATATGCTTCCCATCTCACTTTGGAAGCAACTTTTGGAATGCTGCTTCAGATAAATAAAGATCCAAGTTCAGAAAACCAGTTTTAGTGTGCACGTGGTCCTGTCCCTGTTTGTGCTTTGTGGCCCAGAGCCCAACTGATGTGCACAATGGAAGGCAGGCTCTGGACTCTGGGAGGGGCCTCCGGTTGCTTTTTTCAAAGGAGGATTGGGTGATTGTCAAGAGCAGGGCAGGCACGCACAGTGGGGAGGTTACCCAGCCAAGCTATAAAAGCATTTTTTGAATGACCCCAAAAGGGTCAGCTAGAGAGCAACGTCAACCATTGAGGTACAGGATTCCTACGCCATAACATAACCGTCAAACAAAGAGCAAAGTAGCGGGCGCATCTGATGCAAAATCAGGACCCTGCATTTTGTCCCTGGATCACCTGAAAAATGAAAAACCCAAGTCCGTCTTTCTCTGAAACGCTCACCTGGACCATCATGAGGGTCTTGCTTTCACCACTGAGAGAATCCTGGAGGAGGTAGGTCAGCTTGGAGTTCCGAAATGGCACATGGGACTGGCGGGAACGCAGCGCATAGATCACGTCTCCCAAAGCCGAAAGCGACTTGTTGATGTATTGAGCTTCACGCAACCTGCTCCCTTCAGCACCAGATCTACCCACACGCTCAGATCCTGCCAGGTCTACTAAATTCAGCTTCCCTGGAGATAAGAATGCAGACATTGAAGCTGTTGTCCAAAGCTTCTTTCTTTTAGCTATGGGGTCCATGGAGGACCAAGATCCATCCAAGATATCAAAGGCTGTAATCTTTTGGGGAGGGGAGGGGCGGGGAGGGGGCAGGCCAAGTGATGAGCAAGGCTAAAGCACGTGTGTGGGGGGGGGGGGGGGCTGTGGCAATGCCCTCTTTCCCCCGTCTGCCTCCCCTTCTGTCTCTGCGGAACAGACGGCTCTCATCAGAGGCTTCAACTGAGTCTTTTGAAATGGACCTTTCAGATCAGACTTTCTTGCTGCAGAGGTCCACTCATCCACCAAATGGACTGACTGAAATCAATCTTAACAATATCACACAATAGCAACAGCACTTAAGACTTTACAGCCTTCTTTGACTTTTACAGAGTCAGCCAGTTGCCCCCGAGAATCGGGGTCCTCATTTTACCAACTCTGGAAGAATGGAAGGCTGAATCAACCTTGAGCTGGTGAGAATCGAACTCCTGGCAGTGAGCAGCGAGTTACCCTGCATTCCAACCACTGCACCACCATGGCACACAAGATGGATTGATGTTCTGGCTTGATAAAACGACTCCTCTGCCACCCACAAATTGAAAGCAAGCTGCTCCTCTTTTCATTCAGCATAAAAATGGCAATATTTCCTCTATTCTGAATAACTATTGTTATTTCGCATGCCATGGCATTGTGTCTCACTGACTTCCAATAAGAAGAGCTTACACCTTTATCAATTTTACAGCTTGCTCAAGCACAGCCCCCGCTGAAGACAGATGCCTGGAGCATTTCACAGAGGCCACCCCTGGCATTGGCCAAACTGCCTCACTGAGGGTTTAGGTTGCCTGAATAAGCCGTGATTCCTCGATTCCTCCGTGCTTCTGTGGAGGCAGGGAAGGGTATGAAATTCGTGTGATTTGCATGTTCACGTGAAACAATCTAATTTGAACATCTAAAAAAGTATGGTTAAGTTCTAGAATGCAATTATCCTTTCCATCTGCACTTTTTGGAATTTTGTAATGTAGTTCCTCAATCCTCCCCCCAAGCATACAAAATGGAAATATTTAAAAAATGGAGAAAACCCTTCACAAAGAGCCTACGTTACAGAAAAATGTAAAGAACTGCTTACACCTTTTTGCTGACGTAACATTCAAGTGAGTATGAGTTCTTCTCAAGAACAGAAGCTTTCTAGGAAAATATTGAATAACAGAATAACAGAGTTGGAAGGGACCTTGGAGGTCTTCTAGTCCATCCCCCTGCTTGAGCAGGAGACCCTATGCCGTTTCAGACAGATGGCTGTCCAGTATCTTCTTAAAAATCTTCAGTGATAATGTTAGTATTACAGAAAACTAAGGAGATGCATTGTCCGTTGTTCTGTGACTGCAAAAGGGCTGCCACCCGGGAATGCAAATCCCATCTTTTTCTCAGCACCCAGCCAGCTACTGCAGGAGCGCCAACTAGGATCCGCTCGTCTCCCGTCAGTCCCCCTGGCTAATGGTCAGGATATTCTCCTGGTTCAGCAATTCATTCTGAATCAGGGGAGGAATCCATACCAACCTGTGGTTTTTATTCCGGTGCTGCAATCGGTTCCCCTCACTGTGATCATGAGGAGGGCATGAGACCTGGAGCTGTGTTCGTTCAGGTAGGTGCACTCCGTTGCTCGGTTGATATGACCAAATTCAAAGACCTGGAGAAAAATGGAGGAACCGTAATGGAATTCCCTCAGTCTGGAAACGTTTGCAAAAAAAAAGACACTGGCAAAATCCTGCATAGCCACCTCTTCCCTCCATCAAGGGGTGGTGTTAGAAACAGGATCAGAGGCATGAAGGAGGCTGTTGTGGCCTGTCGGCTGCCAGCCCCTCCAGCAGCCAACTCAGAGGAGGAGGAGGAGGCGTGGGAGTCAGGGTCAGCCTCAAGGCAACCTGAGAGCTCCGAGGGGGAAGAGGGAATGGAAGGGGCAGAGAGAGAGAGAGACGGAACCTGGGCTGTCCGTCAGCCCTCAGATGGAGAGTCAACAGCCCCCAGGTCTGGAGGTGGCTGATGAGGAAGAGGAGGAACAGCTGGGTCCAGTGCCTGACGCGTGGATGCACAGAAGGCAGAGGAGAGGAGGGCAGTGGAAATCCATTGGCCGGTCCTTGGGATGGAAGAGCCACCGCTGCTAGCGAAGCCCCACCCTGGCTCTGGGGTTAAAAGGCAGGGGGTGGAGATGAATAGATCTGGCAGGCAACTATTCATCTTCCGGCCGGACTTGTTAGCCTGCGAGAGAAACCTTTTGCCAGGGCTGCCGGCATTCCTAATAAAGGAATATTTTGGGTTCACGTCAACGGGTTTGTCGTGTTTGGGGAGCTGGGTCAGAACATAGGCCCTGCCCTAACAGATACAGAGCATCTACGCAGCATCCAAGATTCTGTCACACCTTTTCCCTGCAACGGATCTGACTGGCAGGATTAAAGGTCTGAGAATTTAGTTTTCTTGGCTGGGAGCAGTTTTGGGGGGAAGAGAGAATAAGCTGGATCTGCCATGCTCAGTTTCTGATCCTCCTTTTCTCATCCCTATCTGGTAGAAGGACTGAGCACCCGGGATGTCTCTGCCACTTTTCAGTTGTTCTTACCCGAGCACCAATTCATGGGGGAGCCCTCCACTCAAGGGCTAAACACACAATTGGTGGCTGTTAAAATCCCAAGCAAACTGGCTGGGGCATTCTGGAAGTGCAGGCAGCTTAAAGAGGCTGAGTGGGAAAACCTCAACTTCAACCCTCTGACTTGCCCAAACTCCAGCTAAAGCTCCATCTCAGGAACTGCTTGAGGAAGAGAACGGACTTCCCTCCCAGACCCCTTGGGTGGGACTGGCACACCAGGAAGCCCCTCCTGCCCCCACTAACCTGGTTGATGTCTTCCACACTGTGGACAGGGAACTCAGTCAAGCCTGGAACATAAAGCTGCCCGCTGCCATCTGGGCAGAGTCTGATCTCCAGCTTTTCCTGGGGCTCCTTTCCAAGCAGGTCTCTGAAAGGGAGACAGTGGAAGTGCCGGTCATGCAGAATGCCTTCACCCCAGGAGAAGGAAAAGGCATCGAAAGACCATGCAAAGACAGAAGCAACTTCCTATTGTTAAGAGGCAAAAGGAAAGACAAGAATTGGCCTCTCCTTTAAAGGGCACAGCCCCAAACCCCATTCAGCTCTTCAGGGAAGCTGCCATTTTGCTGGAAAACCCAGAAATAAGGCTCTCATTTTAGTCCAAAAACTTTACTTTCTAACTCAAATAAAGTCAGACAAACCACAACCACGTATGGCTGCTCTGGCCTGAGGCAGGTTTGTTCACTTGCGTCGAGAGAGAGGGGGGGGGGGACCGGGGCGATGGGGGGTGGGGGTGGGGGGAGCTGCTTTGGAAGATCACCAAGTGCAACTCCGAAGGCCCCCACCACCACCGCACAATGTGACTGTTGCTCCATCCAAGGCAGGCAGGGGCTGCCCTTCCCACCCGCCAAGGCCCCTCTTCCCAGCCATGTCCACGGAGGGCACACCTGCTGGAGAGGCTGGTTTCCTGCTGTTACCTGAGAGCCTCGTTATAGATTTCAGCCACGCTGACAGTGATGCTGTAATTCCAGTCGGGGGCCTTGGACTGAACCTCGGAGAAGAGAAGCCGCAGAGCCCGCTGGTTAATCCCGGGGTTTTCCGGGCTGCCCTGATGAGAAAGGCAGACATGAGTCGTGTTGATGTTAAAAGTGAAGGAATTCCAAGAGAAGAAACTGGAAGTGGCCATTTTAGAGCTACCCCAAGGGGCAGCCTGAGGGAGACCCTGAAAAAAAACGGACCTTGGCATTCTCATGACCTGCCAACTCCATCCCTGCTCTCTTTTCCAAGTCCTAGAGGGAGGGAGCACCCCGGAAAGAAAGTTAGGTCGAGGATCTGGTGGAGGTCAAGCCCCCATCCTTTCATTTTTTTAAAAAAATATATGTTTATTTTCTTAAAGAAAAAAAATGAAAGTAATTAAAAGTACAAACTAAGAGGAAAAAAACAAGAATCTATCTTATATTTTAAGATTTTCATTTCATTCCAGTATTTCATTACTGGTCACTGGTTTACCAATGAATTTGCTATCATAAGATCAACAATGAAAGAAATCATTGCAAGGTATCCCAGGATCTCTGCCATAGTAACACACATTGTTCCATTCTGATTAGTAGAAAATATTGCCTTTCTCAAAACACAGAGATCACACATTGCAAAAACCATTCCTTGACATTTGGAAAAATTCCAATTTCTTAATACAATTCTTTTTGCCACCACCCTTCCTGGAAATTGATTTGAGTGCCTTTTCAACTTGGAACAGTTCAAAAAAGGCCAAGTCAATTATTTGATATATTTTCCAAAATATTAATCTTGGTTAATCTTAGTTTGACAGACCTCAGTTTACTTTAGACAGGCTTCTCTTCCAAGCATCACCCCAAAATAATGGATAAAATTTACTGCATCCAAATTAATGTGAATGCTTTGTGCAAATTATTGGTTTCATTCTTCCTCACATCCCGAGCAAGTGGTCCATTAAACCAAGAGTTTAAAACTCTCCTTCTTTGTGATAGTGAATCCACTTGCCAGCTCAGTGATAATCACACATGCGATGGCACTGCCCTTTCTCCTCAGGCTGGTGTTCAGACTTAACTGCTGCCTCAGGACCTGGAGCTTTCTACCAAGGACCTGAAAAGCTGACTTGGCCATCTGGCCTGGAGGTCAGAAAATGGTGTGGAACCCCTCAAATGGCTGTGCTGTTCTTGAATGGTTGTGCTTTCCCAGTGACTGCAGTGTATGGTTTTTAATTCTTTTAAACGTTTTGTATTGTGTATTGTTCTTTCCTCTTCATGGATTACTGCCCTGTCATGGCGAAGGGCCTTGTAAGATCCATGAATCAAGGCAAACTGGACATGGTCAAACAAGAGATGACAAGAAGATGAAACTCAAATACTTTGGCCACTTAATGAGAAGGAAGGACTCACTGAAGAAGAGCCTAATGCTGGGAACGATTGAGGGCAAAAGAAGAAAGGGACAGAAGAGAACGAGGTGGCTGGATGGAGTCCCTGAAGCAGTCGGCATGAGCTTAAATAGACTCCAGAGGATGGTGGAGGACAGGAAGGCCTGGAGGAATGTTGTCCATGGGGTCGCGATGGGTCGGACACGACTTCGCAACTAACAACAATAAATTGTTCTTTTATTTTGGGGTTTTTTGGTACTCCTTATGTTTTGATTGCAAGCCACCCAAAGTCATGAAAGTGAAATAAGCAGTGTCAGGCCCTGTCCAAGAATGATGTAACACAATCCAAATGTAAGTCTTTATTTACTCACACCAATAGACAGACTCTTGCCAGACTTAACCCTTATTACTGTCACCCCAATAGAGATACCCTGAGAGATTCTAGGAGTGGCTACCCTAAATCCCTTCCTCAGCCCCGGCTGTCTCTTGCCTCGGCAAGGGCCCCCGGCCCTCCTTGGAATGTGCTCCCTCCTTCCTGGGCATCTGCCACTTTATTCTAGTAGTCCATCACAGGAGTCTATATAGAATGAATGAATGAATCAATCGATCAATCAATTGTTCTGCCCCATTGCCACTGGAATGGGGAGATATGACTGGAAACTAACTACTCAGATCTCCGAAGCCTTAAATGTGCTTGTCATCAGAACGCTGATGATGTTACCTCGTTTGAGTAATGAAACGTCTGCAAGAATGCCATGAAGCTCAGAGAGCCTCACGGACCTCTCATTCTTCTATTTCTCTCTCACCACTGAAACAACCGACCCCGTTAGCTTTTCTGGGTATTTTCTGGGTATTATTATTATTTTCCCCTTAGTTTTATGTGCACTATATGCACTTTTGTGATGTTGATCACAACATTGCCTTCATCACTGTTACCATCTATTTTCCAAACACGATTAGCTGCAGATAAGCAACACATCCCAGAAGGCTCACTGGTGGGTTCGTGGCAGACATTTGGGATTTCAGTGGCGCCCTGGACACAGAGCCCTGGGCCGTCTGATTGACAAGCCAGCGAACTCTGGGCGAGACCACTTGGCAATTACGTGGATATGGAGTTGATTTGAAACGTGCACTCAAGTAGAGCCGCTCAATGGCTTGGAAGGAGGGACAAGTGGATGACATGATACAAGAGGACAAATTTCTCTACTCTCCATTTTTCATTCATGACTTGGGTGAAGACGAGAAGAGCCTATTTACTGAATTTGCGGGCAACACTGGATGGGACAGCTAATATTCTAGAAGACAGAAAACCAATTGAAGTCCCTCTTGATACACTAGAGAAAAAGGGACTAAAATCTAAGAGAGAAAAATGCAAACTTCTTCACTTAGGGTCCCAAAAATTAAATGTACAGGTACAGAATGGCTTAAAAGTTTAGCAACTGAGGATGGGTCAACAGGGTACTGTGACTGCAAAAAAAAAGCAAGACATGCAATTTTAGCATCAACAGATTCTCCAAATTGTAGGTAGCAAAAGTTCCATCATGCAGCACTGATGGGATTCCATCAATGGTAACATCTCCAATTCTGGATGCATTTTTTAAATCAGGATTCAGGTGAACTAGAAGGAGTTCAGAGGAAGGCAACAAGGATGAACAGGGAACAGAAATCAAGTCGCAGGAAAGGAGCGTGATGGAACTGGATATTGGCAGGTCAGCCACGATAGTTTCCATCCCGGCTCCCCTCGGTAGCGTTTTTCCTGGCTCTCTGAAACCGGCCTGGCTGGTCTGCAGCAAGCCTGACATGAAGGGAAGGAAAACAGCTCACCTCCATGGTGTACGTCTTGCCAGCCCCCGTTTGTCCATAGGCAAAAATACAAACGTTGTAACCATCAATGCATGATGTGATCAGCGCCTGAACTTCTCGGAAGACCTTTGGGAAACAAGACATGCTCAGAAATGCCCCCCCGGCTGAAAAGGGGCCCAGAGGCACATTCGCATGAACTGTCCTTTTAACTAAGAGCTTCTTGATGCAGAAAGAAGAGATATTACAGGAATGATCTGTCAGATAACAGGAGCACAGAAACCCCCCGTTATTATATCTACTAGATTTCTATCCCACCTTTATTTTTTTTATAAATGACTCAAGGTGGCAAACATACCTAATACTCCTCCCTTCTCCCATTTTCCCCTCAACAAGAACCCCGTCAGTTGGGTTGAGCTGGAGGAGAATAACTGGCTTTTGTGCCCAAGGCCGGACTAGAATTGACCACCTCCTCATTTCTAGCCTGGTGCTTTAACCACCAGACCACCTGGCTCTTACAGTTGAGGAACCCTGCAAATAGGAGTTTCTTTCCAGGCCCCCCTGATTCTCTAGCCCAGAAGATCCTCACTTACGTCTTCTTGTGTTGCTTCTGGACGGAAAACTTTGTCCAGTTCAAAAGATACCAGCTTCCCTTTGTGCATCAGATGCAGGATGGCGTCATCATCAGGGTCAAAGGTGACTGCGCCCACAACTTCTGGCCCCTCACCATCCTCTGCTTGTATTGGCCTAACACGGCCAAACACTCGGATATTGCCTTTAACAGGAAATGAGACTGTTTTAACGGTAACAGAGACAATCCAACACCGTCCCCAAATTATGCTGCTGCAGTGAACAAAACCAAAAGTTCATAGAACAATAGAGTTGGAGAGGGCCTTGGAGATCTTCTAGTCCAACCCACTTGCCCATGACAGGATGTCTTATACCATTCTGGACAAATGACTGACCAGCCAATTTTTGAAAACCTCCAGTGATGGAGCCCTCACAACTTCTGAGGCACTGATTAATTGTTCTCATTGTCAGGAAATTTCTCCCTAATTCTAGGTCGGATCTCTCTTTAATAATCTTTCACCCATTAGGTCTAGTTCTGCCCTCAGGTGCTTTGGAGAGGAAGTGGACCCCCTCTTCTTTGTGACAGCCTCTCAGATATTGGAAGACTGCTGTCATGTCACCCCTTGTCCTTCACTTCATTAAACTAGCCATACCTAGAGTCCTCAATTGTTCATCATATGGTTTAGCCCCCAGACACCTTATCATCGTTGTGGTTCCTCTTCTGCACTCTTTCTAGTATCTCAACATCTTTTTGTATCATGGTGACCAGAACCAAGTATGGTCTCACCAATGCTGTATAAAGCAGTACCATCACTTCATATGGTCGTGAAACTAGCCCTTTGCTGATGCAACCTAGGACTGCATTATCCTTTTTGACAGTATCAGCACATTGATGGCTCATACTTAACTGGTTGTCTACTAGGATACCAAGATCCCTCTCATAATTGCTACTGTTGATCCAGGTGCCACCTTTTCTACTGTATACCTGTGCATTTGGCTTTTCTTGCCTATGAAGGAGGTTACTTTTCTTGTCACTGAACTGCATTTTGTTGGGATAGGGCCCAATGCTCAACTCTTCAAGGTTCTTCTGAATCCTGAGTCTATCATCTAAAGCAGGGGTGTCAAACCTACAGGCCGAATGCATCACACGCTGGCCACGCCCACGCCTGGTTTAGCAAAGGGAAAAATGGTCATGATACATCACGTGACGTTGCAAGTTTGATACCCCTGATCTAAAGTGTTAGCTAGTTTTCCCTAACTTGATGTTGTCTACAAATCTGATGAGTTCCCGTTCTGTCCCCTCATCTAGATCAATTATGAAGATGTTGAAGAATACTGGCCTAAGACAGAACCTTGAGGTACCCCACTGAATACTTCCCTCCATGTAGATGTAGTTCCATTGAGGACTACATGTTGAGTATGGTTGGTCAGCCAGCTATGAATCCATTTGTAGTGATGCTATCTATCCCATGTTTTTCTCTTACTAAAAAGTAGGTTTTGTCAAATGCCTTACTGAAGTCTAGGTAAACTATGTCACAGCTTTTTTCTTATCCACTGATTGAGTTTATTGAAAATAAGTTTTCCCTGGCCTGATCTGTTTCTGACAAACCCACGCTGGCTTTTATGTCTTTTTCATAAGACACAAATGTGGTCCTTAGTTATTTCCCCCCAGATCTTCCCAATATCGACGTGAAGCTGATTGGTCTCTATTGGTCCTCTATCCACCTTTTCCCACTTTTTGTAGACTGGAGCGCATCAGCCTTTTCCAATCCTCTGTTAGTTCCCCGATGCTCTAGGATCTTTGGAAGATTACGTTCAGTGGTTCCGAGATCATCTCTGCCAGTTTCTTCAAAACGCTGGGATGTAATGCATCAAGTCCTGGTGATCTGAACTCATGCAGAATGGACAATCCCAAAGATTCTTTTCCAAGCACCTTTCTTGGTTTTTCTTTGAAAACGTTTTGCTTCTCATCCAAGCGGCTTCTGCAGTTCTGACCCAGATGTTAGAACTGAAGTAGCTTCTTGGATGAGAAGTGAAACATTTTCAAGGAAAAAAGTAAGAAAGTCCAGTTGCCTTTAGGAAAAGCACCTTTGGCACAGCCATTACCTGGATGGTCGAGAACCTCCATAGACACCTAGAGTGGACAGGTGTTGCCTTACCATTTTCTTGCCTATTTTGACTTGCATTCCTATTCTGTCTCCCACAGAAGAGTACCGGGCTTTTAGTAGGATAGATTATTTTTGTTTCTTTTCATGAAGACAGATGAAAAGAATGAATCGAGCAGTTCTGCTTTCTCCCTGCTACAATGTCCAAGGTTCACTGTAAACCTCTTCCAATTCTGGACTCAAAACAGAGCTAAACAAGTGGAAGAGAGGTTTCCTGACTCCCATCCTCAACCCAAGAGATCCTCCAGGTACTCTCCCTGCCTGGGGAATTCCCACGAGTATCTTCCTTAATGGCTGCTTCCCTCAGTCAAGCGAGAGGCTTCTCACCTCTGGAATCACTTTGGCAGCCCCTTCATCAGGTGCAATCAAGTCCTTGGATCCCAAAATGTGCCTCCACTACGTCAGGCAAGTCCCCCCTCCCCAAATCAGCAACTTTGGCCAACAACTCAAGACCCATTACCAACACCCCTACTGTGCCCGCTTTGCACACAATGCATGCAAGGGAGGAGGAGGAGCAAACCTTTCAATCGCACCAGCTCGTTGTGACATTTCTTGCGGAGTTGCAGCTCCTTTCGGTATTTTCTCAGCAGCTCCTGGTTGGTGCTGCTCACTTCTTCAATGGCTTGGCCAATCTTGGGAGAAAGACAAGCTGCATTAGGGGCTTCTATGTCCCTCAGCCTTTCCCAGGCCCCTTCTGCTTCCTAGGAACATGAGCTGCTCTCCCTGGGATGTGAAAAAGGGAGGAAGAGGAGGACGAGCTCACCTCAGCCCTGGCGCTCTGCAAAGCCTCTTGCAGCAGAAGAGGGAACTCTTTGACCTGGCGCTTCAAGCTGTTGTAGTCACTAGTGAGAGTACGAAGCGCCGGCTGGAGCGTGAGCAGATTGGCCCGCACGCCTGCAAAAGGAAGAACTTCAAAGTTGGCCTGGAAAACGCTCACTTTCATTGGCTATCTCCGTTTTTAATTAACACCACTATCGGGTAACTCGGGGGGTGCTGAAAGAGTCTCCCAGCTGCCGCTCGGAAAGCAAATCCAAGCCGGCACAGGATGGGCCTCCAGGTCCAAGCTACGCACCTGCCAGATTTTCATGAACTGCTTTCATTTCTAGTTGTGCTTGAGCAAAAGCTTCCTCAATGGCTCGGTTCTTGTCCTCCTCCATGTTCTGCATCTCCTCCAGCATCTGCTCCCGGGACTGCTCTAGCTCGGATTCGTACATCGTCACCTGGAGGAGGATGGACATTTGAAGTTCTGAGGCTTCTCCCCGTCTTCTTGAGCAGGACTTGGGGAGCTTCTTCTGCCACTTAGGAGAAGGGAGGAGGGGCATCTCCAAGCAGGGCTTTTACTGGGCGATTGCTCTGCCTCACCAGGCTTTAGAGAGGGAGGGCAGATGAGGCAACCCCCTCCTGTGTCCTTTCTCAACTCTATTCTCATCTCTGCAAATGGCGATCCCCTGATCATCTTTGTTAAGGAGGAAGGCAATGAGCTATTTCATCTGCAGCACTGGAAAGCTGCCCTCCTACTAGAATCCAGGGATAAAATTGTCCCTATAGGAAGTCCTCAATTTACGATGGAAATCGGCACTAATTTTCTTCAGTAAGTGTGATATCACATGACTTAACATCATGCAGTCCCAGTCGATTGTTACTGGGGAAGCTGGCAAGAAGTTACAAGTCACAGACCAGCAGACAGGTAAGTGGCTGCAGCCAGGGAGGGAGGGAGCGAGGTGGTTTGCAGTGAGGGTCCTGGAGGATGTGCAAGAGTATGGTGAAAGTCAGGGAGGGAGCGTGAAAGTGTGCAAGTGGCTGGTGTGGCACAAGTGTGGTGCAAATGCAGAGGAGTGGAAAGGATGCGCAGGTGGGGAGACTTACCCCAGTGACTTGTGACTGCTGGCTTCCCCACTGATGTTTTGGGGAAACCAGCAGGGAAGATTGCAAACGGTGATCATGTGATCACAGAGTGCTGCAAACAGTTATAATTTTGAGCTGGTTGCCAAGTGCCCAAGTCACGATGTGGCAGGAAACGGTGCTGGGATGGCGGGAACTCTGAGGACTGATCATAACCACCATTCGTTCAGCACAACTTTGAATGGACGCTGAAGGAATATTTGTAGGTCAAGGACGCTCTGCACTTAGGAGCCCACCAGATTTAGGCTTGAGAAGGGAAGGAACCACAGAGAGGGGGTGCCCGGCTGATTAAAGTTGCAGCAGCAAAGAGGAAGTGGAGCCGCACCATTTAGAACCTGGACTCGGGTCCTTCCCTGAGGGACCAGAAGCCAAAGAGAAAGAAGCACCAGTGGTGACCTCAGTCCTCCGAGCAAGAGTCCCCCTGGAAGGCCTCGCCTCCTTCTTCCCCTCCGCCTCCGACCTTCTTTCTCTCCCTAGTGCTTGGGAGGGCTTACCTGGGCCCTGAGCTGAGCCGCCACCTTCTGGGAGCTCTGTAGCTGCTGCTCCATCTCCTTCAGCACCTGCCTCTGCATCCCAACCTGGTCCTGTAAGTACTGGTTCCGTGATTGGGCTTCGCTGAGGGCCTGCTTGGTCTTGGAGGATTCAACTTCCATCGTTTTGACGACATACTACAGGAAGCAGAACAGAACAGCCCAGACTGAGCCAACTCCCCAGAGCTGGGAAGAGAGGAAGAACTGGCCTGTCAGTCCCCTGGCGCTGCACAACGCCATCCTCACCTTGACCTGATGAGGCTGGGCCTTGAGGCTTGCTATCACTTCCTGGCTGTCCCGCAGTCTCCGGCTCAGACGCTCCTCCTCCTCGGCCCTCTCTGCCAAGGAGTCCTTCAGCCGCAGCTCTACCTCCGCCAGACGGTTGGTCTTCTGCTCCACCTCCAGGTCCAACTCCGAAAGGCGTCCTTTCACGTCTTCCGCTTCCTGCTTCACTTGTGCCAGCTTCTCCTGCAACTTGACGTTCTCCTGCGGGAGGAAGGAAAAGTCCCTAAGGAACAGGCCCACCTACAGGAGGGCCAACCGGAGGAGCAATGCCTCACCTGGCTGTGTGCACAGTTGGTGCATCTGACCGAATGCTTCCTCAGCTCCTGCAGCTGGGCCTCACACAGCTTTAACTCCTGCTTTAAGTGCACATTTTCTGCAAGCAAGAGGTCTCTATGCTTCTCCAGGTCCGTCCCACCCTGTGAAGAGGCAGGAAAGGAAGAGAGGTCAGGTTCACGCTTTCAATGCTAAGAAAAGAGAATATTCGTAGCTCAGGGTTGACATGAGGGATCCTCGGTGCTCTTGCAGGCGTTTCATGATCCAAACTAGGTAACATCATCAGTGCTAGGGATGATGATGTTTTGCCTAGTTTGGGTCATGAAATGTCTGCAAGAAAAGTTCAAAGAACACCAAGGAGCCCTCACTCTTTCAATGGCCAGGCTCCCTCCCAGAGAAAAGGCCAGACAGGAAGAGAAGAGAAAAGGTCCTTGACAAAAATATTGGAAATCTTAAGAGCATATTTCATCTCCTCAGTGGTTCCAAGTCTAAGTCCAAGACATCTAACTGGATTTAATTATCAATACTGTGCACGGATGAAGATTTAGACGTAATTCAGTCCAGAGTTCTTTTGCTTATTTGAATGCAGCATTCATTTCTAATGCATTTACCGGGGGCAAAACATTACAATCTAAAACTATGGAAAACTGAATTAAATTATTCCTATAACCGTCCTAAACGCACTGCTTGTCTTTGTGTGCACGCAGATAGCAAATAATGACAGGAGGAGGCGAGCTCAGCCTGGGCCCTGCTCAATAGAAAGAAGGGCCGGAGTAGAAGGGAGCTTCTTCTCAGACAATCTTTGGAAGACATCAGGAGACTGAGCAAAGGCCTGCAGAGGGAGGAGGAGGAGGAAAGGCTCCAATGAGTCACAGTCAAACAGAAGATGGACTCGCTATAAACAAGCCCAGCAAATTAGGCGGAAGGCTGTAGCGTCAGACTGCACAACACAACACCTGTGGGTGTCATCTGTTGGGCAGAGAGCCTACCCAAATGAAGGCAACAACAACATAAACAAACCCCAATTGATCTAGCAATGAAAAGCATGTGTGTGTGGGGTGGGTGGGTTAATTATTGTTTTTCCTTCAGAACACCCTCGTAATTTGTACAAATGAACGTTGCATTGTACACCACATGGCTTTGATTATCAGGTATTAACATACACACGGCAGGGAGAGGCTTTGGTTTCCTGTGCTTATTTTCTCAAGCAGAGTCCCTGCTCTTCTGGCTCAGAGAAGGCAGGCCAGAGTCCTCCAGGCTCAAAGCAAAGCAGGCACCAACTTCTCCCCTCCTGGCAACTCCTCCGCTCTAGCCATGCCCTCCTTTTTAAAATAAAAATAAAACCTTGACAAAAATATTTCCTCCTGACCAGACCAGTTCATAGCTTCCTCCAAGTGCCCACAATCCCTATCCCTCCCAGCCAACATGCCCGAAGCCCTGTCAGTTGTAGACGATGGAATTTGTAGTCCAGTACCTCCTGAAGGCTCAAGAAGGGAAAGCCATTGTCAAAGAAGGGCTTGTGAAGGATCCGGGGGCCAGTGAGGCAGGGGAGGAAGTGGGTTTATCTGCCATGGAGCAATGCCAATGGCAGGCCTGAGCGGAGCTGTTCCTCGAAAGACCAGCGCAAGGATAGAAGGCTGGCACTGACGCAGACACATCTGCCTAAATTTGAGTAGGATGTGGCTGTTTCAAACCAGGTTTTGTGAGTTTCAGAAATAACACAAGGTTAGCAATTCAGTGTGCTGCACTTCCCATAAGACACATCGCTCTTCGGAAGCTTTGGCACACAAATGCAATGGTCAGTTAGCTAATAACAACTGTTGGGGTTGTCAAACTAGTACCAAAATCCAACCCTGCAGCGAGTTTGAGAAAACTACTGGACACACCATCTGGGATTCCTTCCCTTATTTAAGGCTGCATCATACACACAAGTGGAATTTGACTGATGCTGACCTTGGAAGTCCTGACTGGAACCAAGAGAGAAGCCCCCCAACTCACCAGCGTGGAATGAAGCCTATTCATCTCTTGAGCTGGCTTTGGGAGTCTGTCCTTCAGGCTTTCTGTCTGCCAATACAAAAGAGGGACTGAAATACAACATTCATTTATTACACAAGGAGTTTATTTATTTTATTAATTTATTACACATGGAAATGCTAAGTTAAATTCCACCTGCCAACTTCTGCTTTACAAGTTGCTCAGTTGTTTGAAGTTTGGCTCTGGTCTCTCAGCTCCAGTTTTTTAATTCTACTGTCTTATCTCAAACATCAGACTCATGAATTCTGCCAGCCAGCCTCTTGCAAAAGTCATCTTAAGCAGCAGCTGCCAATTCCTTGGTGAGCCAAGAGGAAAGATGGACGGAAGCGTGGAAATGCCCGTCTTGCATACCCAGCTGGCAAAGGGCGCCGTGCACCGTGAGGTCAGCCATGAGAGCAACTCTTCCAATGTTTATTAAAAGAACGGGAAGCCCAGATGAACACACAACTGGGTTTCACCAGAAACTGAGTAAAGGGGAATCTTTCCACATCTTTCCATCTGTAGCAGAGTCATAAGATCCTGCGCAATAAGGAACAAGCCAAGCCCACAGAGAGTATCAAAGTGCTGAGAAAGTTTCATGCAAACAGTGAGGCTGAGAGCAGGAGATGACAGACCTTCTTCGCCTGGCCTGGGAAAGGCACTGGAGGGAAAGCTGAAACTCCTTTGCAGGGAAGGCAGTTTCACACCGTTTGGCATTTTCTAAGCACTTAAGATTGTTTCCTGCAACCGAGGCCAGCTGCAGATCCAAAGGGCCATTTCTCTTCAAGCCACGGCTGGAATTGAGCTAACTCAAATTCCCTTTCTGGGCTATAAGACTCAACCTACGTGTGCTCTGGACGTTCCTATCTGTCTGGAGCTGCAGATTAACCAAAAGGGGCACAATTATGTGCCAATTAAACATTTAGGCATGCTGGCAAGCTGGAATTGTTTTAGAGAGAGGGAGAGAGAAGGAAAGAGAGGGAGAGAGACTGACTTAGCACTCTGAATCAGGAAGGCACATGTAGAAACATGGTGTAGAAGTTCCATGCAAACTTTTAAAAGTTCTATGCAAATTTTCACTACACATTTTGGGTGTGATTTTCTTTTACTCCCCCCTCCCATTTCTTAGTTGCATTTATTTATTTATTTATTTATTTATTTATTTATTCATTCATTCATTCATTCATTGTTTTCGATGTGGTTTTGGATAATATGCCATGTTAAAATGAAACAAGCTCGACATATTACACAAATGCAGGTGTTTTGCCTTTGGTCATGGTGATTAAGCGTATTGTACAAACACAGCCTTTGGGTCTTGGCATTAGACTCACACAACCATCCGAGTGATGTTGAGCCACAGAGAAGCCGAAGAGGAGGAGGGTGCAGGAGGTACTAGGATGGGGCAGAAGGGTGGGAGGCAAGACTCCTCCGGTCCTCTCCAGACATGGGGGATGCATATGAGGGAGGAGGTGGGGAGAAAGGAGGGCTGGTCAGGGATGCCAGCAAAGGGCACCAAAGTCGTCCGGATTTCTCCTCTGGAAAGTACCTTGTTCTGCAGCTGCGCAGCCTGAGGGACGGGGCTGCTCTCTCGCACGGCAACTTTCTCCTGCAGCAGCAATAACTGTTGCTGCAGCTGCAGCTTCTCCTCCTGCAGTTGAGCGCAGGACTCCACCAGCTTCTGCACCACCGGGAGACGATGGGGGCCACCGGGAAAGTTGCTCCGCTTCCCACCAAAGACTCTTCCTCCTGCCAGAAAAGAGGGAATTGATCAGAGCCCTCCAGAGCAGCGGCCAGCCTGGTCAGCAGCCTCAGGGCCAGAAGTGACATCAGGAAGGGCAGCAGGCAGAAAGCGGCCTTCACTGCAGCAAGGGCCCCAACAGAAGATCCGGGGAGGGTGGCACAGCAACGACAGTCTCGTTGCTCTCTAGGACAGTCTCCTAGAGGACGAGAGGGGTTTTCTTGCTGCTGCCAGGAGATGGGGGGGGAGCTGCCCCATGCACCTGAGCCAAGAAGGCCCAGCCTGCCTGGAACAAGTGAAGGGAACTGAAAAAAATATTACATTTACGTATTAGTTTGGGATGCTGCCAGAGGCGGATTCAAGCTTTTCTGACTTTCTCTGAGAATTTATATTCTCAAAATCAAACTGGGCTTTTCACCTCCCTTCCATCCCAGGAGCTTGGAGGGGGGGGACAGTTTCCACCTGGCAGGAGCAAATGCGATGGGCAGGTAATCTGGGCCATTTCTTTCCATGGGAAGAAGCCACAAGGAACCTTTGGCCAAACTGTTTTCCATCAAAGACAGTGAAGTGGTACATTTTGAGAATGTTCCCTTCTCTGAAATTCCGTTTGTTTTCTTCATCAGATCAAATCATTTTTTTAAAAAAAATTAAATGTTGAATTCAAGTGAAGAGAATTTGAATCTTATCCTTCGGCCGTAATTTAGCAATTGCTGGATCAACATTCCTGTTTGTCTTTCACCTCACAATCAATGTAGCTACTCCAATTTGTAAACACGAGTGTGTTGGAGAGAAACTTGAATAATTCAATCTGTTATCAAACCACAAAACAAGGACACAGGACATCTGATTAATCAAGAGTACAAAAATACAAGTTTCCAAACGCAGCACCGTGATCTGAGAGGGACATAAAATAACACAAAAGACACAGAAAGGGAGCATCAGAAAGGCTTCCTCAAACTCCCAAACAAAATACTAGAAGCGGGATGCACACAACAACCACACAAGTGGAGATAAGCCTTTGCGTCTGCCCTCCCAGCCCACAGCCATTCCTGTCCCCAAAAGTGAGAGAGAGAAAAAGAACACTAAAGCAGAATTCAGCTCCAAGATTCTCTCTGATTCTTGGAAGCGCCAGAGCCAGGATAATGTCAGTGCCCCTGTGCTCACTGCATTGCAAATAGCCTGGGCTACCTTGGCCTTGACAGAGAGACTGAGGAGGGAAGGAGGGGAAAGAAGGAACAGGGTCCTTTTCTGCAGGAAGATGCTGTGGTTGACCAAAGGAGCCTCTTTGCAAGACTTTCCTCCAAAGGTCCCAACCCTACAGAAAGATGTTTTTCCCCCTGCCTTCTCTGCAGCCAGCAGGAAAGGCAACTAGAATTACTTAAGGAACCTGAAGTTATAAGTGACTCTGCTCATTTGTTAAGTTCAGGATTAAAATCAGTTGAAGTGCAGGAAAGTCAATTGAGCGGGAAGGAGAGAGAGAGAGAGAGAGGTAGTTGAGCTTCTAAAATTTGCGATTTGCAAAAAATTTGCTGCTGCAGAAGTGGTGAAACTGACGTTGCTCCTCCAACGAAGTCGTCTAGTGCGAGTTGGGAACTAAGTGCCAGAGAGCCCAGGAAAAGGGGCCATGTTGGGGGGGGGGAGGCACAGAGGGAAAAGGTTCTTGGAAGCCATCAATGAGGAGCAGGGCGGCTGGGAGTAACCATCATTTTTGGCACTATCCTCCAAATGCATTTGTTTAAGTCAAATTTGAAATGTTAATGTTTCTTAGATGTTTATAATTATAGAATCAGCACCACTTTTATGCTAAACACAATTCAGTTTACCTTCAGCCTCCAACTGAGGCTAACAACCACCTGTCTTCCAAAGTTGTGTATCTACAATTTGAGATACAATCACAGCCATACAAGCAGAAAACCGATAAGCAGCAAAATTCGCTTGTCATTCGTTGCTTCTCCACTACACACTCCATGCAGCTGATGGACAAGAGATCCCCAGCCCTCCTCCTGGCTCCTAACACAGCTGCAGCATCCGAAGAGAACTAGGAACCTCCTGAGCAGTTCACCGGATCTGGGACCGTGGGAACTCATTCTACTATCCAAGCAACGTGTAGATCCAAATGGCATTCTGGATTTCTACTCTTCCAAATTCTCGTCTAAAATAGCAGTAAGTGGCTTGCTACTGACTAAAACAAACTCTTTCAGAAGCAAGTACTCATCATCTTGTTAAAAACACCCAGAATGTAAATCCTGTCCTTCCCCATTCCTCACCACTTAATTGTGCGCCTTGCTTCCAATTATCCATGTCCCCTTATAAATCTCACACCCAGGTGATTTTACTAGAAGGAAAAGAGCAGGGTACTCACAACCGCACGGTGTGGCACATGTCAAGCAGCAGGTGTCACCTGCTTGCTGAAAATCAGATTTCCCCCCCCTCAGGCTTTCCGCCCCTTGTTGAGAGGAGCCGTCTCAGTATTTCCCACAAACCTTAATGCTGGGGAGGCTTTCAATTTCTCCTCTGCTCTTCACGGCCTGAGGCAGTTGATGGGGGGGGTGAGGGGGGGCAAAACAGCAGAACGGCAGAACGGCAGGTGCATCTGCCACAGGCCCACAGCAAGCCGCCTGCGCAAGCCACGGAACTGCACGGAATCCCTCATGCAAGGTTTGTATCATGGGGAGCTTTCAAGTCCTGAGGAAGACCGGCAGCCATCCTGGGTTTTGCTGCACGAGGACCCCCCCCAATGACCCCCCAGATGAGGCAGGGGCTTCCAGCCTGGTCCTCCTCCTTTAAATCTCCTAGCAACCTCTTCCACCAAGGAAAAATCATGCCAGGCCCAGCTGATTGGAGCAGCTACGCCACTTACAGATCTTCCTGCTGCCAGAAGGAGCCGTGGCTCTCTAAGTCTCCCCTGGCCCTTTGCTCGCTAGAGGTGCTTCTTCCGACGCTTCCCCATCCTTTCCAGAGCCCTCCATTCCCAGCCTGCTTTCAGGAGACGTCTCTGCACATCGAGGGCTTCCTTCACTGGCTCACCTGGCCGTGAAGCCCCAGAGTAGGAAAAAAGAGGCTTGTTGCAGCCTGCAAGCCAGAACCAACTCAGGGCTGCCTCTTCCTCCCCCGGATAGACCTCGACAAGCCCAAGCTGGCTCTGAACAGCAGAGCAAGAAGCAACCTGCAGACCTCCCTGTCTGGCTTTCCCCGGAGAAAAAAGCAAATGAGCAAGAAGACCCCATCGATGCTACTCTGACAGCCGACGGAGGGGCCAGCCGAGGCAGAGGAAACCAGGGCTGAGAGCAGCAAAGGGATCCTGCCAGAGCTGTGGGCAGGAAGGGGCGAGGGACCCTCTGGCTGGCATCTCTAGCCAGGAGCCAGAATGACTGGCCCTGGGGAGGGGGACGGTGGGAAGCCAGAGAGGATGCCTGCCTGTGGAGTATCCCCCATGCCGCCCATCCAAAGGCTGCTTGCCTGCCTTCCTTCCGGCTGCCCTTCCAGCCTGTCTCTGAGGGCTTCACGGACTCCAGAGGGAGGTTAAGAAAACCAAACCACACAACTGAAGTGCTGCCCCTTTTTCTAGGTTGCCTACTTTGGTAACGACATGTTTGCAAGGAGAAAACCGAACCCAATTTATTTCCTTTTTATTTACCAAACTCAGCAGGGTGTGGTAGGCGAAGGTGGCTCTCCTCCAGGAGGGGATCTTAAGAATCTCCCTGGGGCCACTCAGTCTTGCCAAGGCAGCTTGAAGGCCACGTTCAGGGTGGATAAAGAGCTGAGGTGGCGCAGTGGTTAAAGTGCAGTACTGCAGGCTACTTCAGCTGACTGCCAGCAGTTCGATTCTCACCAGGCTCAAGGTTGACTCAGCCTTCCATCCTTCCGAGGTGGGCAAAATGAGGACCCAGATTGTTGGTGGCAATAGGCTGACTCTCTAAACTGCTTAGAAAGGGCTGTAAAAGCACTACGAAGTGGTATATAAGTCTAAGTGCTATCACTATTGCTATAATGGGGATTAACACCTGGAGCTACGGTATATCCAGGACACCTGCAGAATTTGGTGAAAAAAGTCAAGACGGCAACCACAACAGTGCGACCAAAGCGGTGTTGCATGTAAAAAAACAAGCATTGGTCACATAGCCACCATTTTTTTTTTACCAATCCCGTGGACAGCCCACATCCAATTTTGCTCTAGGTGGAAGAGTGGGAGACGGGAGAGCCAAGAGGGCTTTCAATACATTCTGGAAAAGCAGAAGAGATGCTGAAACAAGCAACAATAAGCAACAAACCGGAGGGCTGGGAAAGCACTGGATCTCAACCATGTCCTCTTTGAAGGATGCTTCCAATGCATGAAACTCGGGGCAACAAGATATTCCCCACATCTAAAACCTCTCTTCACCAAAAGCCATGCCAGTCCTGAGTTGCTGCAAAGGACTCCAAAGGCCAAATTAGTCTTAACCCTCTGGAGATGCTAGAGAGCAGGCTTCCGATTCCCCCCCCACCCACCCAGAACCTCCAGCAGCAACTTGAAAGGTTTGGGAACATCCATTAGTCACATCTCAGTACCTGTGTTCTCCATGTTCCTCCTGTCTTCAGCTCTCCACTCTGGGACGCTGCAGCTGCCGGTCCAGCGTTTCTGTGGCTGCCAAGGTGGCCCTCAATCTTCGTCTGTCAGCTGGTTTTGCACACCTTTGTGGAGCTGCTGGCAAAACAGAAATCCTCAGCTGAAGGTGGAACCTCTTCTGACTCACCGTTTTGTCACAGCCAAGAGAAACGCTGTGGAAATGAAGCGCTTTTTCCCCTTGGAGCCTTACACAAGTCAGGAAGGAGAAGTTCCTGATTCTGGAGAGTAATTCAAGCATTGTTGTGAGCCTGTGCTTCAAGTCACGGACTTTGCAATGGCTCCCCGAGTCTCTTCCCAGTCAGCTGTTCAACATGCAAGCATCTGAGTTGTGGGCAGAGCATTTCTCTTGGCTGCAGGCACCCTGGAGGAGTCTGCCAGGGCCAAGTTGTTGTTTCCTCCCGTTCACCTCAAGAACAGAATGCTTGAAACACACACACACACACACACACCAGGTTTTTCTGAAAAGCAACCTCTCAACACCTGCAGCAGCCCCCCTTGGCATCCCAGCTAGGGGGAAGCAGGGATCTGAGAGAAGGGCACCGTTGGCCATTCCCTCCTGCCAACGCCAAGGAGTAGCACCAAGAGGCATTTCCTGTCCAGCTGGTTATTTAAGGCCATTCATGGATGTCCAACAGCTCTGACAAACCAGGACAGACTTTATAGCAATAAGAAACTGTAAATCCCAGGAGAGGGGAGGGGAGGCGAAGGCCAGTTCAGCTGCACCGCAGGCCTTCCCTATGGAAGGAAGTCATTCTGGGCTCATAAACCAAGAAACACCCATCCAACATTCACCTATCGAGAGATACTCGGTGATGTCTCACACAGCCCTTCTCCCAGTGGCTTTTCCTTCTTAGAGGCCCTGCTCTGTTAAGCAACTGACCTCAGGATCTCCCCAGATGCCATTCACAAGGCTCAGAACACTCTGCAGCCCCTGAAATAATTTGGTTCTTTGGCAAATTCTTCCAATTTTCACCCTTCTTCCTGGCTGGCAGGTAATCTGGCTGAAGGTGGGAACAGCTGGCTGATGGAGGGTGCCTCTCTAGCTGACAAGAGCAGCTCAGGTGGCCCCAACTGTTTGGCATCCATAAAAAGGGCTGCTCGGTGGTCCCAGTACCAGCTTCAGCAGGACCCAATTCCTGAAAGGCCCTGAACGGCCAGCTGAGAACTGATGGAGGAGAGCCACGTTCCTCAATCACAGGAGCTTCCATGTTCTGCCAACAACCTGAAGTCATTCCTACGGTGCTAACACCCCCCACCCCCCCCCCCCAAGAATGGCTGTTTGGACAGGTTCACTTTTCTGAAAGTACTTTTTAAAAGAACAAGGCAAAGTGAAGTGCAATGAAGTTCATTTTTTTTTCAGTTTAAACAGCTCCTTGCTAATCAGTGGAAAATACCATCACCTCAATTCACAGGATGTTTTCCTCCCAATCAGTTCCAACAGATATTTGTCAATTTAGGATCCCTTCAATTGCCAAATTCTTGCAGGTGCCAAGAGATTAAGTAAAACCACAAGAACTGAGGCCCGTACAGCGCTTTCCAGGATGTAAGAAAGGAGGGGGGTCAGCAGGGCCTTCTAGCAAAGCCAGAAAAGGCTGAGGAGGAAGGTCCGGAAGTGGGAAGAGTCAACAGAGGCCAAACTGCCAGGAAAAGTGTGCAGTGGTTCGGGGTTGCCCAAAAAGAAAGAGCAGGAAGGCCTGCTGCAAGGATGATGGTAGGTGGCAAAAAAGATCAAGGGGAAGCCCCAAGTTCCAAACAGCAGAATTCCTTTAAATCTGCTTGAAGCAGAGAAGCAGCTGAAATGAAGAGGAGCAAAGAGGCCTTCAAGGCAGAGACGGCAGAGAAACCGAAGGCACCTGCCTTTATTGGGGGGGTGGACGGGCACAGGCAGTTAACTGGGCCAGCAGTGACTTTCTGGGAGACCTAAAGAGGCAACCAGGGAAGATAACCTGGGACATCTTGAGAGGCCGCAACACACGAACCAATCACCAGTCCTGAGGGCCTCTACCTGAGACTTTGTAAAGGATTCCAGACTGAGATTTTTATTTATCTATTTATTCAATTTCTACAGCCACTCAACTCATAGCAAAATAGGCCACCTGTTCCTAAAATTGGCATCATTCCAGAGGATGAGAAGACAGACAATGCGACACCAGTTTTTCCAGGGGGGCCCAGGGGAGAAGCTTGCCAATCTTTGCACAAGTAGCTTGCCAATACCTTCTTCCTAGGGCGGAGAGAAAGTGACTGGCACCCAGCCAACTTCCGTTCCTAAGAGAGGGCCAGAACTCTGGTTTTCCCACTGCTAGCCTTAAATAATAATAATAATAATAATAATAATAATAATAATAATAATAATATTATTATTATTATTATTATTATTATTATTATTATTATTTTATTTCTATACCGCCCTTCTCCCGAAGGACTCAGGGCGGTGTACAGCCTATTAAAAACACAGAACAAAACAACAATTAAAATTTAAAATCATTAAATAATTAGGCTCCAATTAAAATCCCAGAAATTTAAAATACCCCAATTTAAAATCGTTATGTTAATAGCCCGGCCTGGCGGAACAACAGGGTTTTTAGTGCGCAGCGAAACACGCGGAGGTCGGAGATCTTACGTATTTCCGGGGGCAGTTCATTCCACAGGGCTGGGGCTCCCACAGAGAAGGCCCTCCCCCTGGGTGTCGCCAGCCGACATGACTTGGCCGATGGCACCCTGAGGAGATCCTCTCTGTGGGAACGGACTGGCCGGTGTGAAGCTGTTGGTGGCAGAAGTCGGTCTCGAAGGTAAATAAATAATAAATAAATAAATAATTTTATTTCTATACCGCCCTTCTCCCGAAGGACTCAGGGCGGTGTACAGCCTATTTAAAAACACAAAAAACACGACAACAATTTAAAATTTAAAATCATTAAATAATTAGGCTCCAATTAAAATCCCAGAAATTTAAAATACCCCAATTTAAAACGTTATGTTAATAGCCCTGCCTGGCGGTACCCGGGTCCTATGCCATGGAGCGCTTTAAAGGTGGTGACCAACACCTTGAATCGCACCCAGACCACTGGGAGCCAGTGCAGCTCGCGCAGGAGGGGTGTCACGTGGGCGCAACGAGTTGCACCCATAACCGCCCACACGGCCTTCTGGACCAGTTGGAGCCTCCGAGTGCTCTTCAAGGGGAGCCCCATGTAGAGAGCATTACAATAGTCCAGCCGGGAGGTGACAAGGGCGTGAGTGACCGTGCGCAGGGCGTCCCGATCCAGAAAGGGCTGCAACTGGCGAATCAGGCGAACCTGATAAAAGGCCCCCCTGGCCACGGCCGTCCTATGCTCTTCTAAAGACAGCCGTGCGTCCAGGAGGACACCCAGATTGCGAGCCCTCTCTGTGGGGGCCAAAGACTCGCCCCCAATAGTCAGCGATGGCACCAGCTGACTATATCGGGGCGCCGGAAGCCACAGCCACTCGGTCTTGGAGGGGTTGAATCTGAGCCTGTTCCTCCCCATCCAGGCCCGCACGGCCTCCAGGCAGCGGGACATCACATCAAGGGCATCGTTGGGGTGGTCTGGGGTGGAGATGTACAGCTGAGTATCATCAGCGTACAGATGACACTTCACCCCAAAACCACGGATGATCTCACCCAGCGGCTTCACATAAATGTTGAAATGTGAGACGTAAACAAATAAAATATTCAAATCTGAGTATTCCTCCAACCTTCCGTTGAATTAATGAAAGCCAATGAACAAATTGCAATTTTAAAGCATGTAACTGCAGGGTATTGTGAATACCGGGCTGCAACTGTGTTCTGGAAAACGCATCAGCTGTCTCCTGCTCACAGAATGGCAACTGGTCAGATTCCCCCCCAAATGACAATGCCGAGGCTGCATTTCTGGAAAGCTCCCTAAGCATCACTGGCAGCAAAGGTCAGATTTCCAGACCAGACAAGAAACACCACCAGATGATCTAATTATAATAAGCTTTATTATAAGGCTACATTAACAGAATCTTGGGAGCCTTAAAGGTGAGATGTGAAATGTAAAAGTACACTTCTCCCACCGTCCTTTTTGCAGCCCGAGAACTTAAGGAGCGTCCCTCTGGAGCCTCTTGCCTGCCCATTGTCCAGCTGCAGGCTCAGCTGTCTCTTATCTGCCTCTTTCGTGGGCAGCGTCTCTTGGCCCAGCTTCTCAAGGTCTTTCTCACAGCGCCTTACAGAAAATGAACAAGCAACCACAAAACTGCAATTTCAGAAAAGACTCTTCAAGTCATGTATTATTATTATTATTTATTCAATTTATATACCGCCCTTCTCCTAGTGGACTCAGGGCGGTGCACAGCCAAAACTAAAATACATAACAATACAAAATTTAAAATTAATTAAAAGAATTATATACTTTGGCCCGAATTAAAACAGTGCGAATTAAAACCCATTAACAAATTAAAACTAAACAATTAATAACCATTAAAAACTAAAAAAGGGGGGCGGGGTTCACGCCAGCCCTGCTTGCTGGAAAAGAAGTGTTTTCAGGGCTCGGCGAAAGACCCGAAGATCCGATATCCTTCTTATCTCCGGGGGCAAATCGTTCCAGAGGGCGGGGGCTGCCACAGAGAAGGCCCTCCCCCTGGGGGTCGCCAGCCGACATTGCCTGGCCGACGGCACCCTGAGGAGTCCCTCTCTGTGGGAGCGTACTGGACGGTGGGAGGCTATCGGCGGCAGAAGGCGGTCCCGCAAATACCCAGGTCCTATGCCATGGAGCGCTTTAAAGGTGGTAACCAATACCTTGAAGCGCACCCGGAAGACCACTGGAAGCCAATGCAGCTCATGCAAGAGAGGTGTCACATGGGAGCGACCCCTCGCTCCCATAATCCCCCGCGCGGCCGCATTCTGCACCAGTTGGAGCCTCCGGGTACTCCTCAAGGGGAGCCCCATGTAGAGAGCATTGCAGTAGTCCAGGCGGGAAATGACGAGTGCCTGAGTGACTGTGCGTAAGGAATCCCGATCCAGAAAGGGCTGCAACTGGCGAATCAGGCGGACCTGATAAAAAGCCCCCCTGGCCATGGCCGTCATATGCTCTTCTAAAGACCGCCGTGCATCCAGGAGGACGCCCAAGTTGCGAGCCCTATCCGTAGGAGCAAATCCTTCTTTCCTTAAAGTTTGCTTAGCAGTAGTTTAAAATAAACTACCCTTACTTGCTCTGATTAAATCTCATCAAAGATAAATGTTCTCTAACCCAGTGTAGCCATATTACGTTTACCATATTAATATTTAAAAGTGGCTCACAGGCTCTTCCACTTTGGGATTTCCCACAGTTCTAAATCCCTAACTCTTCAGCCTAAAACAGTTAGACAGAGAAATACTTTATCACATACTTAGAAGAGCAAGAATAATTCAAGAGTAGAACCACGTACTCAAGGCACACTGATTCACTATGAAGTGAGCAGTTAGGAAAAAAATCAGTCATAACTCACACATTTTCTTTGGTGAGCTGCACCTGAAGAAGGAAGCTGCAGCTCATGAAAACAGGCCTTTTAATAAAATCAGTCAGTCAGTCAGCAAAAGCCTGCCAAGTTCCTTCAGCTAGCTGTGGATAGTGTCACACAAGGATACCTGCCTGTCTGAGGTGATTTTGAGTTCCCAAATAAGTAAAACAAAATAAGTAATCATTTTAATAAGTAATAATTATAAATAACTCAAAGCAGTGAACATACCTAACACTCCTCCTGCTTCCTATTTTCCCATAACAATCCGGTAAGGTGAGAAGCTCCTTTCTAATTGTTCCATTCTATTATTCTTGCCCCATTTCTCACCTTTCTGCTATCACATGGTTGGCGTTATAATTTATACAATACAATCATTGCACATGGATCCTTTAAGTTAGAGAAACAACCGAAGGGGAGAAATAGAAGCCTAAATAATCTGGCATATTTGGGTTATCTATCATTGTAGTCCAGGAATTGCTGGTCTACATCAAAGGTGAACTTGGCAGGAGGCCAAAAAGAGATGTTTTGGGATGGCAGCCTAGTAAGAAAGGCAGAGTCAACTCACATGTTGCAGACCTGAGGACGACAGAGACGGAGGAGCCATCCAGGATGTGTCACAATGTTGGGCAGAGCAAGTTTGTGCAAGACACAGCAATGCCCAGGAAGGCACTAAAGGACTTCAGCTCAAGAGAGGCAAACAAACTTTGCATCCTGAGGTTGTGGCACATTTAGAG